GGTTAGAATGTAGGGAACATTGATAGAATGTAAGGAACATTAGTAGAATGTAGGGAACATTGATAGAATGTAGGGCACATTGGTAGAAAATAGGGAACATTGGTAGAATGTAGGAAACATTGGTAGAATGTAGGGAACATTGGTAGAATGTAGGGAACATTGGTAGAATGTAGGGCACATTGGTAGAATGTAGGGAAATTTGGTAGAATGTAGGGAACATTGGTAGAATGTAGGGAACAATAGTAGAATGTAGGGACCATTGGTGGAATGTATGGAACATTGGTAGAACGTAGGGAACAATAATAGAATGTAGGGAACATTAGTAGAATGTGACTTTGGTATATGTAAAGGATAGAGCAGTCAGCATTATGCCTAGACGTCTTTAGTTTCCTTAACGGTTTCGGGTACCCATTAGAGCTGGGTGGACTCAGGGATGTCCAACCTACTCAAACCAAGAATCCCATAATAATTTTTATTTGCATAGTTCGCGGGTCTAATTTTAACTTAAAAGTCAAAATTTTAAAAGTAATTTTTTAAAAAAGGTCTTTCAGTATGTAACATCTTGGTTTATATCCTCAGTTCTATTCAAAATATTTTTATTTCATATCCTTAATCTAAAAATAAAGACACATTTTCGTTCAGATTCAAAATCTACAAGTCAAGACAAATGTTAGTTCAGATCTTAAATCAAGACAAATTTAAAAGCAACCATCTCGTGACATTTAAAATCCATATTTATGGTGTAGCGGTGAGGGGGGGGGGGGGGGCAATGCGATGCTCTAATCAATATCAGATAATACGTTCTCCAACATTTTAACCTGCTGTGAAATTGAGGGGAGCTGACATCTATTTTTAACCATAGGTTTCTGGGTAATGCTGCCGACATGCGCGCGTGATTTTCTGAAGCACGTGCTGTTATTTTCTTGTGTCGTCATCAACGTCTGCTCGTTATTTCATCAGAGTAATGGCCGTCCAAACCCAATCATCAGACGACAAAGTGGCGCGTGCTCCAACAGTAAATTGTAAGGTCGGTGACCGGCAAGTTTTTATACGTGATTGTAACATTTATCTCATACGTCCATTACAAACATGAATAAAATAAGGACAAAAATAAATGCTCATCATATCTGGCCCTAACAATCTTACCTGGCCCTAACAATCTTACCTGACCCTAACAATCTTAGCTGACCCTAAAACTCTTACCTGGCCCTATCTTACCTGGCCCTAACAATCTTAACTGGCCCTAACAATCTTACCTGGCCCTATCTTACCTGGCCCTAACAATCTTACCTGGCCCTAACAATCTTACCTGGCCCTAACAATCTTACCTGGCCCTAACAATCTTACCTGGCCCTAACAATCTTACCTGGCCCTAACAATCTTACCTGGCCCTAACAATCTTACCTGGCCCTATCTTACCTGGCCCGAACAATCTTACCTGGCCCTAACTATCTTACCTGGCCCTAACAATCTTACCTGACCCTAATAATCTTACCTGGCCCTAACAATCTTACCTGGCCCTATCTTACCTGGCCCTAACAATCTTACCTGGCACTAACAATCTTACCTGGCCCTATCTTACCTGGCCCTAACAATCTTACCTGGCCCTAACAATCTTACCTGGCCCTAACAATCTTACCTGACCCTAACAATCTTACCTGGCCCTATCTTACCTGACACTAACAACCTTACCTGACCCTAACAATCTTATCTGGCCCTAACAATCTTACCTGGCCCTAACAATCTTACCTGACCCTAACAATCTTACCTGGCCCTAACTATCTTACCTGGCCCTAACAATCTTACCTGGCGCTAACAATCTTACCTGGCCCTAACAATCTTACCTGGCCCTAACAATCTTACCTGGCCCTAACAATCTTACCTGACCCTAAGAATCTTACCTGGCCCTAACAATCTTACCTGGACCTAACAATCTTAGACCTAACAATCTTACCTGGCCCTGACAATCTTACCTGGCCCTATCTTACCTGACCCTAACAACCTTACCTGACCCTAACAATCTCACCTGGCCCTAACAATCTTACCTGGCCCTAACAATCTTACCTGGCCCTAACAATCTTACCTGGCCACAACAATCTTACCTGGCCCTAACAATCTTACCTGGCCCTAACAATCTTACCTGGACCTAACAATCTTAGACCTAACTATCTTACCTGACCCTAACAATCTTAACTGGCCCTAACTATCTTACCTGGCCCTAACAATCTTACCTGGCCCTAACAATCTTACCTGACCCTAACAATCTTACCTGGCCCTAACAATCTTACCTGGCCCTAACAATCTTACCTGGCCCTAACAATCTTACATGGCCCTAACAATCTTACATGGCCCTAACTATCTTACATGGCCCTAACAATCTTACCTGGCCCTAACAATCTTACCTGGCCCTATCTTACCTGGCCCTAACAATCTTACCTGGCCCTATCTTACCTGGCCCTAACAATCTTACCTGGCACTAACAATCTTACCTGGCCCTAACTATCTTACCTGGCCCTAACAATCTTACCTGGCCCTAACAATCTTACCTGACCCTAACAATCTTACCTGGCCCTAACTATCTTACCTGGCCCTAACAATCTTACCTGGCCCTAACTATCTTACCTTGCCCTAACAATCTTACCTGACCCTAACAATCTTACCTGGCCCTAACTATCTTACCTGACACTAACAATCTTACCTTGCCCTAACAATCTTACCTGACCCTAACAATCTTACCTGGCCCTAACAATCTTACCTGGCCCTAACAATCTTACCTCACCCTAACAATCTTACCTGACCCTAACAATCTTACCTGGCCCTAACAATCTTACCTGGCCCTAACTATCTTACCTGGCCCTATCTTACCTGGCCCTAACAATCTTACCTGGCCCTAACACACCAAAACTTACTGTGAGGGTGGGGGTTTTAAGAAGGCGTAACGGATGAATCCAATAACACACAGTTCAAGTTCAACTATAATTGTTCTTTATTAAAATGATATTTATGTTCAAGTTTCTACCTAACTGATCTACACTGTACTATTTACTCCTACTACTGACTGTTCATATACTACTAACTCCCATGACCAATCCTAACACTAACTGTTCTCTACATTCTACAACGTAACACCTTCTACCTTCGCTAGCTAATCATGATCTCCTAACTATCTACATTCCTCGGCCGTCTCTGACCGCTACCTAACAACTTCTCTACTCGCTATCTACCTATCAACTCCTGGCCTATCGCTCTACTGCCCCACGCCTCAGTGGTCAGCTGACCATACCACGTGACCGGTCAGTCTCTGAATTTCCATTGGTCTACCTCTGACTAACACGCTAAAGCCTATTTCTGCTATCTACCTGGCTTCGACGCAACATTGCGTCATCACACTTACCTTGCCAGAAAAAAGGTCCCACAGCAGATGAGAATTACGACAATAGAACAAATGAAGAAGATGATAGTGTTGATCTTTTCATCATCCAACATCAGCTTTGTGACAATTCGGTTAAACGACACCAGAACACCTGCAACACCTGGAGAGCATAAACACAACGCTGACGTCATGGTCAATTGAGGACAAACACAACGCTGACGTCATGGTCTATTAGGGACAAACACAGCGCTGACGTCATGGTCTATTGAGGACAAACACAACGCTGACGTCATGGTCTACTGGGGACAAATACAACGCTTACGTCATGGTCTACTGGGGACAAATACAACGCTTACGTCATGGTCTATTGAGGACAAACACAACGCTTACGTCATGGTCTATTGGGGACAAACACAACGCTGACGGCATGGTCTACTGGGGACAAATACAACGCTTACGTCATGGTCTATTGAGGACAAACACAACGCTTACTTCATGGTCTATTGGGGACAAACACAACGCTGACGGCATGGTCTACTGGGGACAAATACAACGCTTACGTCATGGTCTATTGAGGACAAACACAACGCTTACGTCATGGTCTATTGGGGACAAACACAACGCTTACGTCATGGTCTCTTATGGGACAAACACAGCGCTTACGTCATGGTCTACTAGGGACAAACACAACGCTTACGTCATGGTCTACTGGGGACAAACACATAACAGACCTAGTGCACCAGTTTTTGATAGACCTAGTGCACGAGTCTATAACAGACCTAGTGCACCAGTCTGTATGTGACATGTGACAGACCTAGTGCACCAGTTTATAACAGACCCAGTGCACCAGTTAATGTAACAGACCTAGTACATCGGCCTGTGACAGACCTAGTGCACCAATCTATAACAGACCTAGTGCACCAGTCTGTGATATACCAAGTGCACCAGTCTGTATTTGACAGACCTAGTGCACCAGCCTGTATGTGACAGACCTAGTGCACCAATCTATAACAGACCTAGTGCACCAGTCTGTATGTGACAGACCTAGTGCACCAGCCTGTATGTGACAGACCTAGTGCACCAATCTATAACAGACCTAGTGCACCAATCTATAACAGACCTAGTGCACCAGCCTGTATGTGACAGACCTAGTGCACCAATCTATAACAGACCTAGTGCACCAATCTATAACAGACCTAGTGCACCAGTCTGTATGTGACAGACCTAGTGCACCAATCTATAACAGACCTAGTGCACCAGTCTGTATGTGACAGACCTAGTGCACCAGTCTGTATTTGACAGACCTAGTGCACCAGCCTGTATGTGACAGACCTAGTGCACCAATCTATAACAGACCTAGTGCACCAGTCTGTATGTGACAGACCTAGTGCACCAGCCTGTATGTGACAGACCTAGTGCACCAATCTATAACAGACCTAGTGCACCAATCTATAACAGACCTAGTGCACCAGCCTGTATGTGACAGACCTAGTGCACCAATCTATAACAGACCTAGTGCACCAATCTATAACAGACCTAGTGCACCAGTCTGTATGTGACAGACCTAGTGCACCAGTCTGTATTTGACAGACCTAGTGCACCAGCCTGTATGTGACAGACCTAGTGCACCAATCTATAACAGACCTAGTGCACCAGTCTGTATGTGACAGACCTAGTGCACCAGCCTGTATGTGACAGACCTAGTGCACCAATCTATAACAGACCTAGTGCACCAATCTATAACAGACCTAGTGCACCAGCCTGTATGTGACAGACCTAGTGCACCAATCTATAACAGACCTAGTGCACCAATCTATAACAGACCTAGTGCACCAGCCTGTATGTGACAGACCTAGTGCACCAATCTATAACAGACCTAGTGCACCAGTCTGTATGTGACAGACCTAGTGCACCAGCCTGTATGTGACAGACCTAGTGCACCAATCTATAACAGACCTAGTGCACCAATCTATAACAGACCTAGTGCACCAGCCTGTATGTGACAGACCTAGTGCACCAATCTATAACAGACCTAGTGCACCAATCTATAACAGACCTAGTGCACCAGTCTGTATGTGACAGACCTAGTGCACCAATCTATAACAGACCTAGTGCACCAATCTATAACAGACCTAGTGCACCAGTCTGTATTTGACAGACCTAGTGCACCAGCCTGTATGTGACAGACCTAGTGCACCAGCCTGTATGTGACAGACCTAGTGCACCAATCTATAACAGACCTAGTGCACCAATCTATAACAGACCTAGTGCACCAGCCTGTATGTGACAGACCTAGTGCACCAATCTATAACAGACCTAGTGCACCAATCTATAACAGACCTAGTGCACCAGTCTGTTTGTGACAGACCTAGTGCACCAATCTATAACAGACCTAGTGCACCAATCTATAACAGACCTAGTGCACCAGTCTGTATTTGACAGACCTAGTGCACCAGCCTGTATGTGACAGACCTAGTGCACCAATCTATAACAGACCTAGTGCACCAGTCTGTATGTGACAGATCTAGTGCACCAGCCTGTATGTGACAGACCTAGTGCACCAATCTATAACAGACCTAGTGCACCAGCCTGTATGTGACAGACCTAGTGCACCAATCTATAACAGACCTAGTGCACCAATCTATAACAGACCTAGTGCACCAGTCTGTATGTGACAGACCTAGTGCACCAGTCTGTATTTGACAGACCTAGTGCACCAGCCTGTATGTGACAGACCTAGTGCACCAATCTATAACAGACCTAGTGCACCAGTCTGTATGTGACAGACCTAGTGCACCAGCCTGTATGTGACAGACCTAGTGCACCAATCTATAACAGACCTAGTGCACCAATCTATAACAGACCTAGTGCACCAGCCTGTATGTGACAGACCTAGTGCACCAATCTATAACAGACCTAGTGCACCAGCCTGTATGTGACAGACCTAGTGCACCAATCTATAACAGACCTAGTGCACCAATCTATAACAGACCTAGTGCATCAGCCTGTATGTGACAGACCTAGTGCACCGGTATGTGACAGACCAAGTGCACCAGCTTGTGACAGACCTAGTGCACCGGTATGTGACAGACCAAGTGCACCGGTATGTGACAGACCAAGTGCACCAGGCTGTCGTGTAGCAACTGAATATAATATTTATTGATTTCAAACAAACGAAATCGGTGGTAGAATGTTCAGGTTAACGACTGTGTGTGCTTGATACTAACGGATAAGCTACGTTTTATTTGGCTTATTAATATAATTATAATCTTACAATTAGTATCATTTTAGCATAACTGCAGTTTTTGTTACAAGAAATCATGTGTAAATACCAATGTTACTACTTTTCGCCATACACCCTCTCACCTCTTCCACCATCCAACGCTCTCCCTTTCTCTCCCTCTCTCTCCCTCCTCTCCTCCTCAGCCAAACATCGATCTGTCACTCTCAGCCGTTAGAGCTCATTGATATGCGACATTAACAGAAATCTAGGTCACCGCAAACAAGAATAAGAGCAGTTCAAATCACAGCCAGCTGATCGCATTTAACCCTGAGTAAACAGGAAAAGAACGGCAAGATGAATCTAGAAAGTTTACTTTAGTTTTTAATGGTGACAATTCAGTGCTTGATATTAAAGGGTTAATAACTTAGATTTCTTTAAAGATTGTTGGCAATGTATGCAGAGTTTCTTCCAGGCATCTCTTCGTGGGGGCAGAGCCCCCCCCCCATGAAGAAAGTCTACCACCCCCCTCACCACCCCCCACCCCCCACCCGCTATCCCGAACGAAATGGAATTTATATAGAAAACATACTTTTATCATTGTCCGCCCCGCCCCCCCCCCCCCCCGGAAATTGTTGACCGTCGTCCCCGTCCCCCCGAAAATAATATCAAGTGCTCCCCCCCCCCCCCCCCGTAGATAAAAGTCTGGAAGAAATACTATTATTGCACCACAAAAATATGACTTGTCTCATTACGTATTATTAAGTTAATATTTAGTATTATTATGTAGCGTAAAAATAAAGAGAGAGAGAGAGAGAGAGAGAGAGAGAGAGAGAGAGAGAGAGAGAGAGAGAGAGATTCTACAACTTATATGAGAAATCAAAAGAGTTTCTTCCAGCCCCCGCCGCCCCCCCCCCCCCCCCTTCCCCCCGAACGAAATGAAATTTATATAGAAAATATATACTTTTAACAGTGTCCGCCCCCCCCCCGGAAGAAAGTCTACCAACCCCCCCCCCCCCCCCGAAAATTTCAAGTGCGTCGCCCTCCCCCCCCCCCCCCCCCCCCCACGGAGAAAAAAGTCTGGAAGAAACACTGAAAGTGAGTTTAAGTTATGTTACGGTAGACATAATCAACTAGACCATCCAATCAATTAACTAGTCAATTAGTCAATTAGACCACCCAATCAGTCAACTAGACCACCCAATCAGTCAATTAGACCACCCAATCAGTCAACTAGCCAATCAGTCAACTAGACCACCCAATCAGTCAACTAGACCACCCAATCAGTCAACTAGACAATCAGTCAACTAAACCACCCAATCAGTCAACTAGACCACCCAATCAGTCAACTAGACCACCCAATCAGTCAACTAGACCACCCAATCAGTCAACTAGACCACCCAATCAATCAACTAGACCACCCAATCAGTCAACTAGACCACCCAATCAATCAACTAGACCACCCAATCAGTCAACTAGCCAATCAGTCAACTAGACCACCCAATCAGTCAACTAGCCAATCAGTCAACTAGATTACCCAATCAGTCAACTAGACCACCCAATCAGTCAACTAGACAACCCAATCAGTCAACAAGAGCACCCAATCAGTCAACTAGACCACCCATTCAGTCAACTAGACCAATCACTCAGTCAACTAGACCATCCAATCAGTCAACTAGACCACCCAATCAGTCAACTAGCCAATCAGTCAACTAGACCACCCAATCAGTCAACTAGCCAATCAGTCAACTAAACCACCCAATCAGTCAACTAGACCACCCAATCAGTCAACTAGACCACCCAATCAGTCAACTAGACCACCCAATCAGTCAACTAGACCACCCAATCAATCAACTAGACCACCCAATCAGTCAACTAGACCACCCAATCAATCAACTAGACCACCCAATCAGTCAACTAGCCAATCAGTCAACTAGACCACCCAATCAGTCAACTAGCCAATCAGTCAACTAGATTACCCAATCAGTCAACTATACCACCCAATCAGTCAACTAGACAACCCAATCAGTCAACAAGAGCACCCAATCAGTCAACTAGACCACCCATTCAGTCAACTAGACCACTCACTCATTCAACTAGACCATCCAATCAGTCAACTAGACCACCCAATCAGTCAACTAGCCAATCAGTCAACTAGACCACCCAATCAGTCAACTAGCCAATCAGTCAACTAGACCACCCAATCAGTCAACTAGACCACCCAATCAGTCAACTAGACAATCAGTCACAGACCACACAATCAGTCAACTAGACCACCCAATCAGTCAACTAGCCCACCCAATCAGTCAACTAGCCAATCAGTCAACTAGACCACCCAATCAGTCAACTAGACCACCCAATCAGTCAACTAGACCACACAATCAGTCAACAAAACCACCCAATCAGTCAACAAAACCACCCAATCAGTCAACTAGACCACCCAATCAGTCAACTAGACCACCCAATCAGTCAACTAGACCACCCAATCAGTCAACTAGACCACCCAATCAGTCAACTAGACCACCCAATCAGTCAACTAGACCACACAATCAGTCAACTAGACCACACAATCAGTCAACTAGACCACACAATCAGTCAACTAGCCAATCAGTCAACTAGACCACCCAATCAGTCAACTAGACCACTCACTCGGTAAACCAGACTTTTAAGTTTAAGTCGAAGAAAAGAAGCTAAACGAGAATTAAGAGATCTAAAGTAAACCATCGATCGTTTTCAACACAACATAAAATTATAAACCCACTACTACACCCCCCCCCCCCTCCCACCTCCTCGACTCTACGTGTTATTTATTACGTGCAAGATCTTTTGAATCGACATCTCAAAGTTATTTTAATATCATTAAGGAAATTCGTTTCAAAATGTCTAGACGGAGTGGTGTCAGAAGCTTCTGCGGTCTAGACAGAACTGAACTTGAGACTTACTTTCACCAGCCATGACGCCTTGTGTGTATCTCCTAGGCAACATGTTTGCGTAACCATAGAAACTTGACTGTTGAACTAAACGTATAAAAATAAAACAATATTGTATAACAATATATAAAACAATAGAAATATAAATTGATCAACGAAAGAAAAAGAGTGTTAGGAAACAGTTTTAGGACTGCCAAATAAGGCTACAGCACATTACCCCTCCACCCCCCCCCCCCCCCCCCTCAAGTTAGAATCCTCATTTTAACTCAAAGTCTACACCTATATATTACCTTAATCCTAACCTTAAGAAAAAGATCAAACCCAAAGCATTCACCTCAGCCTAAAACTTAACAAAAAACCAAAACCAATTCTAGACTTTGGTTGAAGCCTAACCTTGACCATAACACTAACCCTAATCCATAGCCATAGCCATAGTCACAGCCACAGCTACAGCCACAGCCATAACCCTAACCCTAACCCTAACCCTAACCCTAACCCTAACCCTAACCCTAACCCTATCCCAAAATTTAACCCTAGTGTACCTAGCTGTGTCTGTGGGTCAGGGGGGAAAAGTCTTACTGGGAGTGGGGGGTGGGGTGTAATTGACAAGGGGGGGGGGGGGTAATTGACAGAGGGGTAATTACTCCGGGGGGTAATGCCGGGAGGTGGAGTCCGGGGGTAATTGACGGGGGGGGGGGGGTAATGCCCTATTCCCGTCAAATAAATAGCTTTATTTTCGGCATCCTGGAAAGATTAGCACTAGGGTAAAGTAACACTTTCGAACCTGGCGGTCCATAGGGTAGGTGAAGTAGAGTTCACCTGCTTATGTTACCTCCGCACACCGTACTTTGCCCAGCCGGCTTTTGCTTACCCTAACACGAGTCAGGTACCCATCAGAGCTGGGTGGTTTCAAGCCCAGGATCCGAACACAAGACTATCGGGTTAGTGGTTGAACGCTCTGTTAACCGACCACGCCGAACAATAAAGTGGAAGTAAAGCAATTTGATTATGTGAGTTCGGCCACTATACCATTTAAACATTTCATCAGTTACTGCTGATCGGTAATTAATACCACACGCAAAGGTCAAGGCAAAGGTCAAGGCCAACTTACCCGCACAGCCGACAGCAATGACAGCCACACCGGTCATGGTGACCCAGTAACCGGTGTCGTGGTCAAACAGGTTGAGCGTGACGTCACAGATGGTCAGGAAGAGCAGAAGTGAAATGGAGATGACGTAGCCGAACATGACCCGCCAGGTGAGGGAGAGGGTCTCGACCAGCACGTTGTTGAGGATGACCCCCAGCATCCCCACCACAATCGTCGTGGCTGTCATGTCGAACACAATCGTTGTGTGGGGGAACCGGCTCTGTGGGGGGGGGGGGGAGATCAAACTATTAGCAAATCAAATACATTCAAGGCCGATCGGGGGGGGGATCAAACTGTTAGCAAATCAAATACATTCAAGGCCGATCGGGGGGGGGATCAAACTGTTAGCAAATCAAATACATTCATGACCAATCAGTGGAGGGGGGGGGAGATCAAACTGTTAGCAAATCAAATACATTCAAGGCCGATCGGGGGGGGGGATCAAACTGTTAGCAAATCAAATACATTCATGACCAATCAGTGGAGGGGGGGGGGAGATCAAACTGTTAGCAAATCAAATACATTCAAGGCCCGCTGTAAAGGCCGAGGCTGGCAGTCAGAAACAATAATCTTTATTGTTAGAGCTGTATAGGTTTGTACCCGTTATTAATCTAATACGTTTCCTTTACCTCCCCCCCCCCCAACTTTCAGAGAAATAGAATTTTTTACATTTATTTACAAAACATAAGCTATAACTATTGTCCCCCCCCCCCCCCCTCCTTTCCCCGAGAAGTTTCATTCCACCCCCCCCCCCACCCACCCAGAGACAAATATCTGAAAGAAACCATGTGTCCCCTCACGCCAGACCATACCCATCTACTGGTACTCCCCTCTGGTAGGATATGATACACACCCCCCCCCAAACCAAAGATGGCGTTGGGTCGTTTTTGTCTGTTCTGGTCTCTACCAATGGTGCTATTTATCATCCTTCAAGTCTCAACCACATACAGCAGCATTTATTTTACATTGGGGTTGAATAGACGCTCATTGGTGGTCTAGGATAGTTCTCTGGGAGCCCTAAAGTTCTTTGCTTGGGAAGGGGAGGGGGGAGGGGCTTGCTTTGCCAATCCTTGATTAAACGTCCTCAGCTTTTTCGCCCTGATGATCCACAATACTTTTTAGGTAAATAACGGATGCCTTTACTGTAAGGAGACTTCCATTTAGTGTGTCTTGTTCAGTGTTTGTTCTTTAGTATTTTGGTCCAACCTGCACTGATATGTCTGCTTCCATATTTTTGTTTTTGTTTTCTCCTGTATCTGCAATTGGTTGTAGGAGAGGAGGCGACGGTTCTTTACGCAAAGTCCAGGTTGTTTCCTTAGAGTACTCTCCGTTCCTACTATCTCTAGTGGCTGTCTTCATTATCTGATGGTATGAAGAAGAGTATCAACATCAGGCATCATTGACGAACACCGAGCACCTGTAAACCGTTTGTTATTTGACATCCATTGACAATTCTATAGGACGTCCCCCCCCCATGTGTGTTTTTAATGAGGCTTACAGTCTCATTGGAATGCCGTGGTGGTTTCGTAAGAGCTTCCAGGTGGTATCTCGATCCACACTGCCGAATGGGGTTTTTTTTTGTTGTAATCAATGAAATTAATGCACAGTGGTAAGTTCAGCTCTAGTGACTGCTCAATTATGATGGTGTGTGTTGCGATCTGGTCCGTGCATGGTCTATTCTGTCTGAATCTTGTGTAACACATATGATTACCAGCCAAAGGGGGATAAAACTATGAAGTTTTTATTCATTGGGTTGCGGCCCCTGTGGGATCGCAACTGAACAGTGGACGTTGTTTTTTTATGCTTTTGTGAGCGAAATTACCTGTGTTCCATGTCATGTGACATGGGATTGTGGGTAGTTATGTGCCTAGCCGTGTCGCACACGCAAGGCTGCTGTCTGTGGACCAAGATGTAGACCTAATGAAGGGCTGCAGTTCTTTTTCTTTTGGTCTTTTGGATTGTTTGGATCTTTTGGTTTATCTTGGCTAGTTCGTTTTGTACTACTGTGTTGCATCGCCGTCATGGCTCGATGCTATAAATAAACGAGTACTTGACAACAACTGTCGGCGTCGGTGTGTACTAAATCTCAGGGTCAGCCCGTCTTAACCACAACACCTCAGTGGGTAAAAGCATCCCCACTGAGTGAGGGTTACATTTGGCGCCCAACGTGGGGCATGACTTTGAGAGGTAGGATGGAACACAGTGAGCCGACGTTGGAGAAGTTGACGGAGGAGCTGGCCAAGTTGACGGCTAAGATGGCGGCGATGCAGGCAGATGCGCAGCGGCCCGTGACGGTGGAGGTGTGTGCTCCAGCACACAACAGCAAGCTGAGTGTGTTCACCGGCCTTCCACCCACTGGAGGAGGGGAGGTGAGTTTCCCGGAATGGGAAACCCAAGTTCAATGCTTGCTGCGGAACACCAGCGTTCCGAACCCGTTGCCACGCGTCTTAGGCAGCCTGAGAGGGATTGCCTATGAGCGGGTGAAGCAAGCTGCGAGTCCAGAGGAAGTGCTATGCCTCCTACAAAGCACTTTTGGCGACACCAGATGTGCCGAAGACAGGTATCTGCAGTTCAGCCGACTCACTCCACATCCAAGGGAGTCAGCGTCGGAATTTCTCTGCCGACTGTGGTCAGAGATGACGAAGCTAAACCAGCAGCGTATCTTTACTGAGGCCGATGCCCAGAAGAAGGTGTATCACACTTTCTGCAAGGGGGTTTCACCTCTTCTGGCGCTCGAACTTCGCGGCACATTTGGTTTCGCAGGGGAAGCCAGTCCGAAGGTGGAGGACGTCCTGAAAGCTGTTAAAAGGCTGGACGGGACAACTGAGTCCACAGTCGTAGCCACGGCAGCAGCTAACAGGACTATCCAGGTCGACGCAGTAACGGCAGCTGTTCACCAAGAGACGACGCCGCCGCTGATGCTCACGGAGGAACAACTCGACCGTCTGGCGGAGAAGGTCGACGCAGTAACGGTAGCTGGTCGCCAGGAGACGACGCCGCCGCTGATGCTCACGGAGGAACAACGCGACCGTCTGGCGGAGAAGGTGGCAGATATCCTAGCCCGGAAACAACAGCCCTCCAGAGGAGCTTGTTACGGGTGCGGGTCCACGAAGCACTTCGTCCGCGACTGTCCGAGAAAAGCAGCTAGGCAACGGGGTCAGCAGCAGGGAAACGCCAGTCCATCAGCGTCGGGGAGCGGATGCTGATGCGTGTTCTGCCAAGCTCCCAGCCCAAGTTTACGCCACCGAGATCATCACAGTGTCGAGCAACCACAGCTCAGGTTACCTCGCCTAGCGGCTGGAGGTACGGCTGTCGGGTGTTCCGCCGTGGAGGAGGGTTGCAGCCGGAGGGTGCGCGTGAGAAGGGTAGACATCCACACCATGAATGTCAGTCTCAGCGCGAGCAAGATCGTCGCTTGGGAGACAGACATGACACAAGCAGAGATCGGAGACGCCGCCGGAGGAGAGGCCGACGACGTGGTGGACGCCGCCGTGGTTGGCAGCGACCCGACTATACAATGTCGAGTGCTGGGCCCACTGTGGCGGAGGGGGAGCGACGGAGAGAGGTCATACCAACCAGTGAGGCAGATGAAGGTGAGGAACTGACAGTCAAGGTTTTGGTCCCAACTAGACTTCGGCCGGAGGCAACGCCTTTCGTGCCAGAGGTTGTCGCCCGGGACGGACAAGACAAGGTGATGGTCAGGCCAGCCCCACATCTGGATGAGGTGAATGCGAGGGACGAGGCATCGGACGAGGATGACTCTTGGATCAACCCAGAACCACCAGCGGAGCTGCGGAGGTCAACCCGTCAACGACGACCCGTCGAGCGACTCAACCTGGCGCATCAAGTGGTGACCAGTACCAGCACTGGAGCCTCTACCGGTTTGCCGGGAATAATCTATTTGAGTTGAAAGGACTTAATGTCTGTGTACTTGTGTACTGAACTTTTTTTTAAGTACTATTAAGTATGAGTTGTAAATGTAAATGTAAATGTGAATTCCATTGTACATTTATTTGTGAGGGGGGCTGTGTAACACATATGGTTACCAGCCAAAGGGGGATAAAACTATGAAGTTTTTATTCATTGGGTTGCGGCCCCTGTGGGATCGCAACTGAACAGTGGACGTTGTTTTTTTATGCTTTTGTGAGCGAAATTACCTGTGTTCCATGTCATGTGACATGGGATTGTGGGTAGTTATGTGCCTAGCCGTGTCGCACACGCAAGGCTGCTGTCTGTGGACCAAGATGTAGACCTAATGAAGGGCTACAGTTCTTTTTCTTTTGGTCTTTTGGATTGTTTGGATCTTTTGGTTTATCTTGGCTAGTTCGTTTTGTACTACTGTGTTGCATCGCCGTCATGGCTCGATGCTATAAATAAACGAGTACTTGACAACAACTGTCGGCGTCGGTGTGTACTAAATCTCAGGGTCAGCCCGTCTTAACCACAACACCTCAGTGGGTAAAAGCATCCCCACTGAGTGAGGGTTACATTTGCTTGCTCATCTCTAAACTCTAGATCAGGGACATTTTCCATCCTATTTAGAGGACTCTGTTAAAGTTTTTCCCTAACTCCGAGAAGAGTGGGATTCCTCTGTAGTTGTTAGTTACAAAGGTCATGTTTAATGGGGAGCTTGATCTGATGGTCTTCGTTCTGTTATTGTTGTTTTTTATAAATATTTCTACCTCCTCCCATATCTCTCAAAGACTGGGTGCAACATCTTTATTGATGTTTCCAGATCTGCTTTTAATGATTCTGCTGGAATGTCGTAAGGTCCAGCTGCCTTTCCATTCTTCATCTGGGAGATGGCCTTCATAATCTTTTCTCTAGTTGGCCTCTCAGAGTTGATAGGGAGATCTACTTCAGCAGGGTCTATGTCTGGTGGGTTCAGAGGTGCTTGTCTATTTAGTAGTTCCTCAATGTTCCACCATCTGTTGGCTTAGGCTTTTGATGGTCTACTCAAAGACCCAAAGACCTGTTTGGTTGTGCCATAGAAATGTTTCATGTTTCCATTGTATGCTGCTTTCCGCTTTTGCTGCTAACCCCTATAGAACGTTTCTTACCATTTTTTTTCTGCTTATGAAATATATATATATATATATATATATATATATATATATATATATATATATATATATATATATATATGTGTGTGTGTGTGTGTGTGTGTGTGTGTGTGTTATGGGAAACAACTAATTCAACAGCCAGCATGAAACATGTTTTAACACTTACCTGGTAATAATCAACAGCCACGATAAAACATGTTTTAACACTTACCTGGTAATAATCAACAGCCACGATAAAACAGGTGTATGGAAGCATGTAGCCAATCCCAGAGAGCAAGAAGGCGATGTAGATTTTACTGTGGGCATCCACTGGGACATTATCAAAGGGATTAGAGAAACGTTTAGACTTGGATTTGGCCTCAAGTTCGGCCTTCAAACGTGCAAATATTTTCCTCTCATCTTTGTCCCCTCTGGCCCCTTGTAGGATCCGTGTATCTGGAGTTGACTGAAGTGAAAGTTTCGAGTAGGCCCACGAGTTGTCCGCCCCTTCTGTTGACATCTTGCGTAGGTTAAGTTACTATTAAACTAAACATCTTCTCCTAAGTTAGTTTATGTGAAAAGTATGTTTAGATGTTAACACTTCAATTCCATTTGAATTAGCTTGCTGTTGTAATTTTTAAAATCTCACTGAATTTGTTCTGATCACTAACAAACACGAATCAAAAGCTGCGTGTCAAAACTAAAAATCATAATCGATCCCAACCGAGTTGAATACAAACATAATCGAGGCCTATGCACTTAACCCACTTTAACACAAACGTAATCGAAGCCAAATCACTTCAACACAAACATAATCGAAGCCAAATCACTTTAACACAAACATAATCGAAGCTAAATCACTTTAACACAAACATAATCGAAGCCTAATCACTAAACCCACTTTAACACAAACATAATCGAAGCCAAATCGCTTCAACACAAATATAATCGAAGCCAAATCACTTTAACACAAACATAATCGAAGCCTAATCACTTAAACCACTTTAACACAAACATAATCGAAGCCAAATTACCTCAACATAAACATAATCGAAGCCAAATCACTTTAACACAAACATAATCGAAGCCTAATCAATTAACCCACCTCACAAAACTGAATCCACACAAATGAATTTTTTTCCACGAATTTTAATTGCCAGTAGCTGATTTAAAAAATCAAAACTTTAAAAACACATTTTTCTCAAAATATCTCTGACATTACTCCCTTATATATATATATATATATATATATATATATATATATATATATATATATATATATATATATATATATATATATATAGACATATATGTATACCCTGCATATTATATTATAGCCTATTAAGTCTATATTAGCAATGGATAGGCTGTATATAAGTATATAGAGCCGACATATAGATCCATTAATATATGTGCCTTTTTTCCTGCCTCCCCAGTAACAAACTGCAAACATTTCTCTCAATGCTAACAGAAATCGTCTGCCTGACTTCCAGACCTAAAGTTGCTGGCTGTTGAATGTTTCATGGGCCGTCAAAACCCAACCCGGAAGCTGTTTGTCTCGAGACATCTGCCCCACGTCTGCTTTTTATCCGCACTAGTTCTCTCCTAATGAGGCGCTTGTTCTCTCTCGAGTTATCCTTCAAGTATGTTAAACATAGACACTTTTAAAAGAAGAATTCTACAATAGCTAACAATAACACACAAAACATCTTCGTTCGTTTGAAAAAAATTAACAACTCAGTAAATACTCATTGTTACGAATTATGACAGATCTACTTAATTCTTTCTCAATAGATCTAGGACTACGTTTTACTATGAATTAAAAATAACAAAAAGTGTTCTTGGTTTTTTTGTTGTAATTAAGTAATGAATACATAAGCGGTACTGAAGAATTTTGACAACTTCACGATTTTCTGACTTGACTATGAAATGCTCGGTACTGAATACATTTGATAACCACACAACTCTGAGCTAAGTGTGACACGATCGGCACTGAATACACTTGATAACCACAAAACTCTACCTAGGTATGAAATGTTTGGTACTGAATACGTTTGATAACTTCACAATTTTCTGACCTAGGTATGAAATGCTCGGTACTGAATACGTTTGATAACCACAAAACTCTGACTACATTTGATAACCACAATCCTCTACCTAGGTATGAAATGTTTGGTACTGAATACATTTGACAACTTCAACCATCTGAGCACTGAAGAAACTATGAGAACTGAAGAAACTATGAGAACTGAAGAAACTATGAGAACTTAAGAAACTGTGAGAACTGAAGAAACTGTGAATACTAAATAAATCTGAGAACAAATCTGCAGGCGAGTGCCTCAATTGACGACGTACGACAGCGGCAAGTCCAGTCAATATTCCACACGGCGTCAGACAACCAGTCTTGGTATGGAATCAATACCCCCACCCCACACCACACCAACCCACCCCACCCCAGATGTACAGATGTGCACCTGCTTGTTTAGTTCTCCTCAACACCCCGACACTCCAGAAGATGTACACCAACTTGTACAAAGTTTCCAGTACGCTGTTTGTACAACATACAAAACTGTTCTTGTTTGATGGATTTTAATCCTATATGACATTCGTGTCGTCAGTTTTTATCACCGTCATCAGTATTTTATACGATGTCGTATACAACAATTGTATACTGTCGTGTACAATAAGTGTGTACTGTCATGTACAACAAGTGTGTACTGTCGTGTACAATAAGTGTGTACTGTCGTGTACAACAATTGTGTACTGTCGTGTACAACAATTGTGTGTACTGTCATGTACAATAAGTGTGTACTGTCATGTACAATAAGTGTGTACTGTCATGTACAATAAGTGTGTACTGTCATGTACAATAAGTGTGTACTGTCATGTACAACAAGTGTGTACTGTCGTGTACAATAAGTGTGTACTGTCGTGTACAACAATTGTGTACTGTCGTGTACAACAATTGTGTACTGTCGTGTACAATAAGTGTGTACTGTCGTGTACAATAAGTGTGTACTGTCGTGTACAACAATTGTGTACTGTCATGTACAACAAGTGTGTACTGTCATGTACAATAAGTGTGTACTGTCATGTACAATAAGTGTGTACTGTCATGTACAACAAGTGTGTACTGTCGTGTACAATAAGTGTGTACTGTCGTGTACAACTATTGGTACTATCGTGTACAATAAGTGTGTACTGTCGTGTACAATAAGTGTGTACTGTCGTGGACAATAAATGTGTACTGTCGTGTACAATAAGTGTATACTTTCATGTACAATAAGTGTGTACTGCCGTGTACAACAATTGTGTATGTACTGTCGTGTACAATAAGTGTGTACTGTCGTGTACAATAAGTGTGTACTGCCGTGTACAACAATTGTGTATGTACTGTCGTGTACAATAAGTGTGTACTGTCGTGTACAATAAGTGTGTACTGTCGTGTACAATAAGTGTGTACTGTCGTGTACAATAAGTGTGTACTGTCGTGTACAATAAGTGTGTAATATCTTATAGCCTGCCACAGTTGTGTACGAAAATCGTGTACTATCGTGTACATCCCTGAGTACGTGTACATGTATAGCCTGTACATGTACAACAATTACTTTGTACTGCCTGTCTTTCAGCCTAGCATTCGGACTGAGTCCGTCCTAATTTGTCTCCCTTTGATGGATTGTTTTCACTTCTAAATTTTCACTTAAAGCAAAGTTTAACAAATACATCTGACAACCTACAATTAACGTCAAATACCAAAACATAAATAATGGATCACACATTACACAGCATATGGAAACCATTTCTATGTACTATATAAGCTACATAGATAACGTGATTTCTGCCCAGTTGGTACTTAATTGGGTAGCAGATCAATAGGAAGTAGGTACTGATATATAACAAGGAAGTAGCAGATCTATATCTGGGGAGGGGGGGGGGGGGGTAGCAGATCTATATCTGGGGAGGGGGGTAGCAGATCTATATCTGGGGGGTAGCAGATCTATATCTGAGGGGGTAGCAGATCTATATCTCGGGGGGGGGGGGGTAGCAGATCTATATCTGAGGGGGGAAGCAGGTTTAAATTTGGGGGTAGCAGATCTATATCTTACAGATAGCAGATCTACAGATGTTAGGTATGACTAGGTGCCGTGACATTCAAGGGATAAAGGAAGATTTTCGTCACTGGTAAAGTTTCCATTGTCAGTTAAAGTTTGTGTAAAATCGACAAATGATATATGGAGTTAAGGCTACAACGACACATGAGACAAAAAATATACAAGACAATCTCGACATACGAGACAGTTTGTACAAGACAATTCAGACACATGAGACCAAGTTTACTATGAACAACATGTCAACGTTTACAATTTGTGATTTTTGGCATGTATACAACATAATAGTGATCGTGAGCCTATATTTCCTTTGATTGCTTTAAATATTTCTTCAACGTTGTCTTTATAAAAAAAAACGTGTACGAATAAAAAAAAAAGTCTGATCCCCTTCAATATCCCCTGCATGACGCAGAGATTGGGAGCACGGCTTCGACTGACTCCAGACACAAAAGCCATTCTAAGTTCATGGATATTCATGAGGAGGAAGCGGCCAAATGTCGGGGTGAGGACCGCCTCTTGTTGGCCATCAGAGGACACGGCGGGTCGCTTACATGGGGGGGGCTGTCTGACAGAATGACGGACAGACAAATAGGGCCAACACGAAGACAACTGTAAAACGTAATCATATGCCAGATTTCCCCCCCCCCCCCCACACACACACAATCCAAAATGCTATAAAATGAAGATCGCCTTGTTTACATTGATTTATTTTTAAACCCATAGTACAGTCAAGCTTTTTTTTCCATAGTTTATCGCCCCTTAGACGGTGCGCATTTGGTACAACACTCCAATGAATTGTTCATTTGTTTGATGACCAGAAAGAAGCGCAACGGAAAAAAGCGCAAACAGAAAAAAGCGCACATTGAAAATGCGCGAAAAGAAAAATGCACAGCCACAAAAAAAACGCAAACAGAAATATGCGCAAACAGAAAAATGTGCACACAGTAAAAAGCGCAAACAGAAATTTGCGCACACAGAAAAATGCGCAACTAGAAAAAAGTGACACCACCTAGAATTTTGTCTAATAGCGGCAATTTGTGCACACATTATAAACCAACCATTAATTAAATTGGAAAAAGTATAATTTTCATCGTAAATTATTAGATTTTCCTCTGTGAATTTTATAGTTGGTGCCCCCCCCCCCCCTCTCACAAACCCTCACCCGGGTGATAGTTTTAAGTATACAGTCAATAGTAAAGATGTTAATCTATAGTCAGTTATTAATACAGGCGGATTAACTTTAATTAATCATTAAGGGGTCATCTATAAATGACGTCACGCTTTTTGGACGATTTTTACCTCCCCATACCCTCCGTCACAGATCGTCACAAAAAGCCAGACACCCCTAAATGACGTCACACCTCAGTCTACAAACCCCCCCCTTCCACCCCTCAAAATTCCAGTTGAATTTTTCTTAAAACAGCTATATTTTTCCCAAATCTTGTCTGAACTCTGTCAACATAAAGTGTTTGAATCAATTTCTATTGCAATTTATTAAAACAGTTTTCTAAAACGCAAACTAACGGCTAAAATGTGTTTTCTAGCATTGTTTTTTATAATGCAAAAGTGTGACGTCACACCATCTGAACACCCCCACTCCCCCTAATCACACACCGTCACACAATTATGGAGCCCCCCCCCCCCACTTCTATATGTTTTGCAATTTTTCGTCATAGTGTCACCCCTTAACTGGTGTCACGCCCTCGACGCCTCTGTAGTAGGCTATTAACCAGACTTAGCTCTATCAAATATCTTGTTTTTATATCTAGGCCTAGACTTAGTACTGGTGTAACCTAGTCTCTGCTTGTAGAGCATCAGTCATCCCCCCCCCCCCCCCCAAGTATCCACCACACACATTTCGCTACAAAAATCATATCAATATTATCAATGTACGTAGCCGGTCATAGCCTATGTGATGTATATAGGATTAAATCAGTGTTACATTAGGCCTTTCTTTGGAAACAAGATACTTATACTTCTGCCCTGCCTGGTTGGTTATGGCCCAATGCAACGTCTACGTCTTTTTTTTAACGCTGCCTTAAGCCTTATCGATAGAAACTCAGAACAGGTAAATTAAACTTAGTCCAGATCATATTCTAAAACCACATCGAACTCAGGGCATGTTCTAAAACATATCAGTTGAACTCTGATCATTTTCTAAATACGCCTAATTTTAAAAAAAAAAATTTCTACAAAGCACACAAACTAAATTAGTTTCACCATTTTTTTATTGTCAATATAAATGTTGAAAATATAAGTAAAAATTATTTGTTTTAAAATTTTACGTGATAAAAGATGTTAGACATAAATAGTAGGAAATATGACATCATCTTGTTAACATAAAAAAAATTTAATTTCAGACTTTAAAAATTTTTAGGATTTCAGATTAATGTAAGGCATACTTTTAAAATCTTTGCTGTCACAACATTTTGACTTATTTCTATTTTTTAACAGTTCACAGAAAAAGAAAAAAAATTCAATAAATATAAAATTGCTGTATAAAATAATTTTCTGAATCTTATTTTACAAAAACACATTTCATGTTTGACTTCAGAACAAATATTAAAAAATAAATAAAATCAAAATAAAGCAATTATCAATAGCTAAAGAGTAAAATATAAATTAAAATGGCAGTTGTGGTTATTTGGTAATTTAATTTTGTTACAGTCGTCCAATTCCAAACAGTTCTCTTTATAACCAGCTATAGCACTTAAACCAGGCAGACTGTACCACTTTGTGTTACTTCATCCTTCACAACACCATGACACCACCATGACACCACCTTGTTTTGATGTGGGATGGGGGTGAAGGGTAGTTATGTCTTGAGCCCAGTGCTCACAACTTTAAAGTTGGCAAGCACACATTCTAGTGTTAGACCTCGCTGTCTTATACTGCAAATAACACTAATAGATTCTGCACCTGTACCACTTCATCTATTTCTGCAAGTTGCATCAAGCCTGCTACAAATTACAAAATCTTCCTTTCTAGTTAAATAATCTTTGAATAAAGTATATTTTATTAAAAATAATATGCATTTTGTAATGCATTGCAAGCAACTCTTTGCAAAATAACCACAAAACACAAAAATTATCCCAATATAATTATTTATAAAATTCTAGAGACCTTTAAAGGGATGTCAAGTAAATAGTTTGTACAGCAATTGATATGTTGGATTTCAGCTTGGAATGTTAAAGTAAACTTGCAATATTAAAAAAAAGAGTTTCAAATGTTTTGAAAGGCACTTGGTTTACCGCTGTGTTCTAACTAAACTTTTTGTCAGGAAAAGGAATTGTGATTACTCTAACACCAATGAACTTAATTTTTTTAAAAGATTTAACTAACTTTTAATTTTTAAGCACATTTACCATCTGAACATGAATTAAAACAATAATTTGCAGTTTCTTTTAACAAAAGGGAAAAAAACAAAAACATGGTTTAAGTAAGGCAACACACTATGCTTTATAAATTTTGTTAACCTAAATATACAATTACATGAAGTATATTATATTATTTTTAAAATTTTCAGCTTGAATTAATCAGTCAACTGTTGTTATGAATTAGAAAATACTTATTTTTAATAATAACAAGACAAATCTAAATGGTTATATCATACTAGTATATAACATAAATCTATATCATTTTATTTAAAAAACTATAAAATGTATCGTAAAAGATTTTCCATAAAGGACACCAAATAATATTAGTCGTCTTTATCCCCTCCCTCACACATAAAAAATAGAATGTCCCCTCCTCCACATCTCTTATAAAACAACAGTTCCAACTCCCCCCCCCCTCACCTTCCCAATACTGTAATCCTAACCTAAATTTATCTTTAAGAATTACAAAAGTGGGGTATAATCATCACCACCCTATAGTTCATCATTATGACATACAAGTTAGAACCCCCTCAGTGCATGGTGTGCTGTATGAATGATGGAATAATTCTAAATTAATTAATTTGCATTTCCTGCAGCTCTCCCCTGAAAAAAATGTAAAATGTGTATTATAAATATAATATGTCGATTCAAATGTAAGCATATTTTTTGGTTCAGACAATAAAATAATTTTAGAAGTTCAGTAATATTGACTAAATAAGTTTGGATGTTTAGAAATTTTAGCAAAAGGGTAACAAAAAAAAAACAGAATCCTAAAAACTAAAGTACTTGCATCTAATTTTTATATGGACATTTGTTAATATGACTGTTGACATACAAGCAGTTTAAAGTTAATTAATGTGATAGATGAGATTGTTACATCTTAATTTTGTAAAACAATACCACATACACAAATGAAACAAACACAACAAACTAATGTATTTGGTATATGTCACATAAACATAATAATAAAGAATTTTTAAAGTTGTTTTGACTTGATTTTCTTTTTAAATTTAAAAACACGTTTTTTTAAGAAGATGGATGTTTATTTATTTATTGTTTTGCAAAAGTTAAATAAAAACCATTTATTGTGTTTATTTCTTAAGATTTCATTAATAATTAATGGGTTAAAATATATTTTGATTATTTATGCAATCATACAACATTTAAATAAACATTTTGGATTAAGTTTAACAAAAAATCTAAAAGCAGTTAAGAAAGCCAAATTCTACTTAGTTATTAAAAAAATATGTCATCACAACTAGAAATTAATACATGCCATGTTATGGTCATCTTTAAAAATATTTTGTTTAAACAATTAACCTATTAAAAAAGTAGCTTTATAGAACATCCTTCTGTGTTTCTTTTGCTTTGTAATGCACATTTTTTAAAAGAAAATATTTATTTTCATTCACCAATCGATAGTTCAACATAGATAATATAGTAAAACATTAATGAAATTCTCTAGAACTGATGATTTTAATGAGCAGCTGGGCCAGGTTACCTTAAAAAACTTTACATTTTTTTTCAAAAGTATTTAGCACAACAGATTAGGATAATACTTAATTGAATGGCATCTCACATCATTTCTTCAATTAAATTTATAAAAAAACCAATGCTCATTGACAGTCTCTTCAATCTTAAATGCAAATTCATTTATTTTCACCCACCACACATTCACAGTTATTCATCATTTTACAAAAAAACTTTTAACATCTTTTATTTGTAACATTGTACAGTATTTTTTTTTTAATTTACCATCCATACTTGTTTATTCAGAAGCTTCATGCACACTTTTTTTATAGTCTTTCTTGGACAACTTCATTATTTTCATAGGCTTTATTTGTAAAATGTTTGGCTCCCTCCTTATTGCCTGGTGCTGGAGCATGTCGTCCAAATGATGTCCTTTTGTCATCCTAAACAACAGCATAAAAATTGTTGTTTAACTGATACAGCATAGTTTTAATAAAATAATAGGATAAGGATGTTATTTTAAGTAAAAAAAAAATACTTAAATACCTATACAACATAACTTAAATAAAACAAAAGGGTAAGAATGTTATTTTAAGTTTAGAAACTATAATATATAATTTGAATAAAATAATAGGATAAGGACGTTGTTTTATTTTTAAAATATAAAATATTATTTATCCTCAGCAATATAAAACTAGTAAAATGTAGTTTGATTAGGTTATTTAATTTAAATAACCAAAACTAAAAAAAAACAGTTCAAAATTTCATACTTTTTATGTCCATTTTCTATTAATAAATGCAGGCATAATTTAAAGCTGCATAATGAATGCTGAAGATTTTCTACCCACAACTATCAAAAAATACTTACAGAATCCAATGACTCATAATGGTTGCCGTGTCCATTTTCTGCCATTTCAGTCCCGTAAGTTTGGCTAACTCCTTTGACCTTAGGACGTGGCACACTTTCAAAATCCTTGTAGCGACTGTTGGTATAAGTGTGACTATCTAATGTCCTAGTAAATTAGGAGGATAAACTTAGTAAGCATTAGTAAGCGTTTATTAAATATAATAGCAAGCTTTTTAATAGTGGTTACAGAACTTATTAGCTAAGTGTGTATATCATTCAAATCGCACATTAATGAATTAAAACAAATGCAATGTACAACAAACTGTTGAAACTATTTGCAACAGAATGAATAAAACAAATTATGTAAGTCCACTAGTATGTTAATTGCTTATATATAAGACACTAAATTAGCTGCATAAAAGTATTCAATCTAGCTCTAAATAAGAGGATTGAAATAGTAAAGCGAAAATCTACAGCTGTATGCTATGACAGCTGTTACTGGATATTTGTTGTTTACATTTAAGAATTTAAGAGATTTTCTATCTAAAAATTCAGTTTCAAACTACTAATTAAAAAAGACAAACAAAAATGAAAAGAAAACCATTATCATGCATCTCCATTACAGGTAAAAAAAAAATAAAAGAAGAGTATTTAAGTTTTTAAGAAAAAATGTAGCTTTAACTAAAATCGGCAACAAAAATACCATGCATTTAAAAGGGAATATATTCGGAACTAGTGCACTGAACAATATCAATCAGAATTTTTTTGTTTTATTGAAAATATATTAGTACTTTTTAACAAATCTGATGTAAACATAAGCATACAGTAACAACATTTTACAGGAGAAATATTTACAAAGATGTTGGATTTATTTCAAATTTTCATAAATACTGCTCATCATGTATAAAAAAAATAATTATATGTATCAAAATTACATTTATACGTTGAAAGTAGTGGTCATTCTTTTTTGAAATGATAGTGTTGTCAATTTTATCGATTTTTAAAAATAGTTCTGAGCATTGTCTTTTAAGTCAATGAATTTATAGTCAAAGACAAACTTTTGATTTATTATTTGGACATTTTTCTTTTCCTGTTTTTTTTTGCAAAATGAATTTCAAGTTCTCTTATGCTCCATACAGCCTATAAATTACCATATTTAAGTAAAACCCCAAATTCCCTGAGTATTGAGCATTTATTATTGTTTTACATAAGAAAAGATCAATTGATCAACATTACATATATATATATATATATATATATATATATATATATATATATATATATATATATATATATATATATATATATATATATATATATATATATATAGATGGTCCTTATATTCCTAATATTGACTTTTTAACGGAGCACCCCAGAATGCTTTCCTATGTGTAAAGAAAGAAAATTATTTCAAGTATACTTTTGGTTTTTAAAACAGATTTGTTTTAAAATAATCTAGGTGAACATTGAGTTTAATAATCATTTTCTACAATTTACAAAAACAGCTCATAAAAAATGTAAAATAACAACTAAATCTTAGTTTCTAAAATTACTTTTAATGCAAAATTGAGTTATTGCCCAAGGCTAAGGAATAATGTCAAGTAAAAGAAACAGGAAACAGCGTTGGAGATCATTTAATACTGAACATACCCAAGTATAGGATATGATTACTATAGAACAAGACAGACAATCATCTAAGCCCACATTAATGTTTTCAGTCATCACCAAAATATTTTGGTCATCACTAATACAAGACAATTTGTGTACTAGAAATACAGGTTAATACTGCTGACAATTTGTGTACTTGAAATACAGACAGGTCAATACTGCTGACCATTTGTGTACTAAAAATAAAGACAGGTTAATACTGCTGACAATTTGTGTACTAGAAATACTTTTCACCACCTTGTACTGCTCTGGCTGAGTGAAGAGCATGTTGTGACAGGGGAAAGAAAGGTTGTGACAGGAGAAATAGTTGATTGACTTTTGACCTTTGTAACTGAATTAGAGGCTAACCATTTTGTTGCAAATCATTGAAGAATATTAAAAGCAAAAAATTCAAAACAAGCAAAAGACTAATGTTAAATTAAATATTTTACATGAAATTTAAATCAACAAGTTTGTATTAAATACAAATATAACTATACTGGCATTATACTTGCATTCAGTAAATCATTTACAATTGTACAAAGCATTTTTTTAAAATGAAGTGTTAAAAAGTCAATATTTGGACTTTATGATGAAACAATTACTTTGTTAGGAGACTCTAAAATGTAATATTATGTGCGAAAATTTTTATCCAAACTAAGGGGTACTCTGCTTCAATATTTTTAAATTTAAAAAAAAAATGGAATATAAAGACCAACCTTATATATATATATATATATATATATGTCACTTTTTGAGAACTATAGACCTACTACTTATACATTTTCTAAAAAAAACATATAGAACACGACATTGTTCCAATGAAATACTTAGTCTAATTCAAGTACAATACTAAATTTGACAACTAATTTCTTAAGTACAATACTAAATTTGACAACTAATAAGTAGAGGCCAATTTTATTTTAAATTTGAATAATTAATTATTTACATATATTTCATTGAAATAGTTAGTTCTATTAGTAATTTAGATATTACGTTTAGCGTACACTGAACAAAAAAGAATTTTTTTGAAAGTATTACCAATCAGACCCCTTCCTGGAAATGGCATTATTTTAAATAAATAAATAAAATAATTCTTTACATTTTAGTAATAATCACCAATTATTTTTTAAGACGTTCATAAAACAGTAGCATTAAATTACAATTATGAATTTATAGTTTATCTGGAATAAATGCTATTCATAGCTTTAATATAATTTTTTTTCCCCTTACAAAGCATTTTATTATTTAAAATACATAAAATAAAAAGTAATCATATGTGTGTCCCAAGACTAAAAGAAATTATAGTTTATTGCTATTTTAGAAAATAACCAAAATTAAAATTTATACCTTCGATTTCTTACACAAACAACTATCAGGATGATGATAAGACACAGGCACAAAAATCCCAAGATGACACTGATACAAATAACTGCAATCTTCATTTCTGAAATGTAATAAACCAGCATCTTGATGTATTTTGGCATCTAAAAAAAGAAACTTGTTGCACAAAATTAAATAGCCATTTGTTTTCACACACAAAAAAAAAACCACATTAATAAAATACTTACTCCTAGCATCAGTGTTTTCATCACTACAGGTTGGCCCATCCCACTCATATGTACACCTGAAAAATTAAGTCTTTAAAATAAGTAACTTTCATAATAATGTTAGTTTTTTGAAGATATCACAAAGAAATGTTTAGAAGAAATTGCTTAAAATATGTGTATTTTAAATATGTCATGAAAAGATGTTTAGAAGAAATTGCTTAAATATTCCAGCTTGCAAATACCTGCACAAATAACCAGATGTCTCTAGTGATGATGTGTAACAAACTCCATCATGTTGGCATGGGCTAGAGCTGCATTTGTCAGCTATGGATGAAATAATTTATTGCACTTTGTTAGTAGGCCTAATTTGTAAGTAACACTTTGGGAGCATCCATATTTTGACATAAAAATTGACATTTTATATAAGACTGACTTTTTAAAAGATAAATTTACTACTAACTTTGAGATTGACTCAAGCACCAGTTTTAAACTTTACTTATGTGTAGAGATTGACGCAAGCACCAGTTTTAAACTTTACTTACGTGTACACTTGGTTATGGTTTTATCCCACTGAAGACCTGCACTGCAGATACATTCATAACTTCCAAAGTTGTTTGAACAAAACTCTGTCACATTGCAGTTGTTTACACCAGTGCATTCATCAATATCTAATAATTTCAAGATAATTTAATAATAGAATAATTGAAAATATATAATATTTTAAAGATTATCTAATAATATAAATGGAATAATAATATTTAATAATAGAATTAGGGCCTAATAGTTTAAAGATAATCTAATAATGTAGACTGTTTAATAATAGACCTACTATCTGATAATTTTAATAATAGAATTAATATCAATATACAATAATTTAAAGATAATCTAATAATAAAGAGTGATTAATATTAGACCTACAATCTAATAATTTTAATAATAGAATTATTAACAATACCTACAATTTAAAGATAGAGACACGTTTTCATCTAACTGCCATTTGTTCTTGGATATAGCCTAAAATTTCTATTTATAAATGGTGTGTGTTTTGTGGTCACAGCTTAATTCTAGTTCCAGTTTTTACCTTTACATGAGTAGGGGTCAAGATCATCTGCTGAAAATCCTGTTTTGCATGTACATGACATAGTTTGATTTCCTGTCTGGCATGTAGTTGTAAGGGGATCACACTTCTTGTTCATAGGCTGCTGGCACAAATCAGCTATAAAAAAGTTATGGAAATATGTGTGTTTATTCATATTTCATTTTAAAACAAAACTCAGTTTCTGATAAAAATACTGGCAGGAAAATACAGTATGGTAATGTTTCAGCCTGTGTTGTTGCCTGGTTTAAAATTAGGCTAGCAATACCAGAAAACAATGGCCTTAATACCAACTCATTGGTTTTAAACATAGCAAAAATTTAGTAACGATAAAACCACATGAGTATGGTAGTTACCACAAAAAAGATAATTTCGTTTCATAAAATGTATTTTAGAATATTAAAGGGGTTTAATTGCCATGTAAATTCTGATTGCCCAAACAAATATATTTAAAAGTTTTGAATTATTTAAAACTAATTACAAGTATTGAATTATTCCAAACTATTAATTAAAATATATTTAGTTTTTTGAAAATAAATGTAAAATACTTATTTTTAAAATCTGCTATTAAAACACTAAAATATTTTCTCACTTGTTAATTGTATTTCAAGTTTTTTTTTTAACTTTTCAAGACCACTTTTATATTAATGAACTGTAATTTTGTTTTAATTGGGCCAATCTGCTGTAGCCTAGAGGCCTAGAGTATTTCAAATCTTACAATATTTTAATATTTTTAAAAACACCTTCCATCTTTGGCAGAAATGCCTCCCAGGGTATCCAACCTAAGACATGTAGGTTTTATTTAATCAATTAAACATCACTACGTTAAAAGAATATATTTATTAAATATTGCTAGTAGAATTGAGGGGGGGGGGGGTAGATAAAAATTAAAAAGCTAATTTTAAGCTGCAGCATTTAATTATACAGTTAAATTAAAGAAAATTAATGCCTACACCTCAGCATAACTGTGGTCACAAGCTAGATACATCATAAGCCTCACTGTCAGCACAACCATGCAAACAGGTGCAGGGTTGTTTGTTATGAAGTAGCAAAAGTAGAAAATTTTATTATGATTCTTTAAAAAAAATTTGCCGTTTCCTTCTTAATTTTTGCCCAAAAACATGGATTGACAGAAAAACTTTTTGAATTTCTGCCTTTGGGCAATTTGTAAAGATCCAACAGTGTGGTCAGATGGTAGAGTTGACAACTGTTAACTGGAAAGTCTAGTGTTCAAATCCAAGATTGAGGTTGTAAAACAACCTTGAAATCCAACTATTTCTGACTCATGTTAGGGAAATAAATGCAGCCTGCAAAGTGCGGACCACAATTTTTGCTGAGGTTATAATAACAGATTAACTCTACTTCATCTCCCCCATGTATATTGGGCACAAAAGGTAAAAAAAAAAAATGATGATAATGATGATAGACCCTGTGCGTGTAGTTGGTCTATAAAAACAAGTTCAGACAAATCTTCTAACCTGTGGCATTTATTGAAGGTGGTCCTGAGACTATTAAACTAGGTGCAAACAAACAATTCTGTTTGCATGTTCCATCACCATAATATGCTTTACTTAAGGCAGTATTTACATTATCAGGTGGTAGGTAATTAGCTGTGCGGATTTCATAGGTAGCTACAATGTCAGTAGCCGTTGTCTCTCTTTTTCTTCTTCCACCTGATTGTGCCCTAAACATAATAAAACATTCATTATCAAAGTTCTTAGATTTTATTCCATTGGTACTGCAGCTTTACTTTTAAATGTACTAGATGAAAATGTTGTAGTTTATTTACATACCCACTTCCCTTTGTCTCGAATGACAGCACATCAACATAAAATGTATCATTGTTTAATTGTAAACGGCTTGTCAAAGCTTGCTTGACCTAAACATTTTTTTAATTTAAAAAAATTATTTTAAAAAAAGCTAAAAAGATAGGTTTTATCTTCAAGACTTAAATAAATCTACATTGTAAAATTAAAAAGTTAAAAAATTGCTATATGAAAAAAAAATCCATTTTGAAATTCTAAAACAATCTCTCTCTCTCTCTCTCTTTCTCTGAAATTTTATTTTATTAACAACTCTTTATTTGTTTTTATATCTATCATTGAACACCATCAAGTCTGACAAACAAGAAAATAAATGACAGAATTAACAAAATATTTGTCTATTAGTTTATAGTTTGGGAAAACCAAGCTAATGAAAGTAAAAGTCAAAAGTGCTCTCAAGACTTTTGCGAATGGAGCAGAGCTAGAAGTCGAAGGCTTTAAGTACCTCGGCTGCTATATGAGGTAGATTAAGAATTACACAACGGAGACAGAAGCCCTTAACATGTAAACAGCTTTAATTGTTAACCGGCAAGACGGAAGTGACGAGAGACACAAGTAAGGGACATCACTCAAGATAACAATATAAATATAATACCAATACAATTATCTCAATCTATTACATCCCTTTACCCTTAGAACACAATAACACATCTCTCAATAGAACAATTGATAGTATCCTAAAATCACCAATTATATTGTAACATGAACACTATGGTAGATTACATCCTTACAAACAATGCACAATATGCCACAACATAATCAAGATACAAAACAATGATGTCAAAGTCTTTTTGACCCTTAAAATCATAGGTCTAACTTATTTGGGACTTTGATTGTCCTGCTTGACCTTCTCAGTGGCTTTTGATTTGGTGACTCAATATTCTGACCATCTGGATTCTCTATCTCAGGAGGTCTAGGATTTAAATCATTAACTCCAGAATTTACATTTTCTGACTCCAGACAACTTGGTTCACTCATATCAACAGAACTTGGTTGTGAAACAAACTGAGTTGGTGTGAACTGATCAGACTTGGTGGGATTGACAGATTCACACTTATTATCTGCACAAGTTATTTTTAACTGGTCTGCATGTCTACGGACAATAAGTCCATCATTTGTTTTTACTTTATAAGACACAGGTCCTGTACATTGAACAATTTGACCTGGTATCCATTTTTCCTTTCTCCCATAATTTCTTAGATACACATTATCATTAACTGCAAATTCTCTTTCAATGGATGATTTGTCATGATTTACTTTTTGTGTATGTTGATGTTGGGAAACAGACCTTTGAACAGTTGGATGTAGTAGGTCAAGATGAGTTTTAATTTTCCTACCACATAGCAATTCACATGGTGCAACACCTGTTGTTATATGAGGAGTTGTGCGGTATTTGGTTAAGAACCTGTTTACTCTTTCTCTAAGAGAAAACTTGTTACCGGTATTCATTTTTACCATAGCGGTTTTGAATATGCCTACCGCTCTTTCAGCCAAACCATTCCCAGCAGGATGATAGGGGGATGTGGTTATATGCTCAATACCATTTGCCACACAAAACAGTTTAAACTCATGAGCTGTGAAACTAGGCCCATTATCTGAAACAATTTGATCTGGTAATCCATGAGTTGAAAATATTTCCTTAAGTTCTATAATGGTATCATTTGCAGTGATTGTGTTCATGATTTTAACTTCTAACCATTTAGAATGTGAATCAATAACAATTAAGAACATTTTGTTCATGAAAGGTCCTGCGAAATCTATATGTATACGTTTCCATGGTTCAATTGGCCAGTCCCAGTTTTGCAAAGGTGCTGTAGCTGGTTGATTTGAATGTTGTGCACAGCTTGAACAAAGTTTTACATATTTTTCAATATCAGCATCCATATGTGGCCACCAGAACCATGATCTTGCTAGACTCTTCATTTTGGAAGAACCAAGATGAGTATCATGTAAAGTTCTTAAAACTTCTTTTTGTAACATTTTGGGGATAATTACTCTTGACCCCCATAGTATACATCCATCTTCTAGACTTAACTCTGTTTTTCTTATTTTATATGGCTTTAAGTCCTCATTCACTGACTCTTCAGGCCAACCATTCTTACAGTACTCATATACTTTTATTAAGCACTCATCTTTTTGTGTTTCTCTCTTAATATCATTCACCTTTATATTGGAGTTATCCATGATAGTGAAGAGAACAAATACTTCTTCTGGTACATAGCTCAGGCTTTGGTTTTTTAAAGGTAATCTACTCAGACTATCTGCACTATTCTCAGATCCAGGTTTGTATTTCAATTCATAATTGTATGCAGTTAGTGTGATAGCCCATCTTTGAATTCTTGGTGAGGCATGCTCAGGTAGGGTTTTGTTTTCTCCAAATAAACCTAGCAATGGTTTATGATCTGTAAAGATGGTGAACTTCCTACCAAACAGAAACTTATGAAATTTCTTAACACCAAAAATGATGCCTAAGCCTTCCCTATCTAACTGAGAATAATTTTTCTCAGCCTGGTTCAAAGATCTACTGGCAAAAGCAATGGGTCTGTCACCCTTCTCATCCATGTGGGACAAGACTGCTCCTACACCATCTGGTGAAGCATCACATGTTAATATAAGTCTTTTCCCTGGGTCATAGTGAGTTAGTAAGGTGTCAGCAGACAAAGCCTCTTTTGCTGTATTAAAAGCAGCTTCTTGTTGTTTACCCCAGTGCCAAGTTGCATTTTTCTGTAGCAGCTTGTACAGTGGTGATAGTTTACCAGACAGATTTCCTATGAACTTTGCATAGTAATTTATTAAGCCCAAAAAAGCTCTTAGTTGTTGGGTATTTTCAGGTTTGGGTGCTTCTTTAATGGCTTTTGTTTTCTCAGGTTGAGGTCTGATGCCTTGTTTGCTCAATATATAACCAAGAAAACTAATTTCTGTCAACATGAATTGACATTTATCTTTGTTTATCTTTAAACCTTTTTCACCAACAATTTTCAAGACTTTATCAAGTGTTTTAAGATGTTCAGTGTCATTCTTACCAGTTATGTACACATTGTCAAAGTAAACACAAACATTTGGAATATCCTTAAAAATACTGTCCATGACAGCTTGGAAAATTCCAGGGCTAGATGATATGCCAAAACATAGTCTTTCATATTGGTAGAGTCCTTTATGTGTGTTTATTGTCGTATAGACTTTTGAATCTGGATGCAGTTCTAGTTGAGTGTAAGCATGACTAAAGTCTAATTCAGTGAATTTGTCTCCTCCTGCCAAATTCAAAGAGATTTCCTCAATGTTAGGTATAGGGTACCTATTTAGCTCTATTTGCTTATTCAGTGTAGTTTTATAATCTCCACAAATTCTTATAGAACCATCCTTCTTTAACACTGGCACAATGGGTGTCGCCCAATCGGAATAGTCTACCTTCTTTATAATGCCATTAGATTCCAATCTACTTAGCTCATTTTCAATTTTATTCCTCATTGCATAAGGTGGAACTCTAGCTTTGCAGTATCTTGGATTTGTGTCTTTAATGCTTAACTTCACTGTTCTATCATTTAGTAATCCTGGATTACCAAAAACACATTTATTTTCAGATATAACTTTATCTAGTGAAGTAAGACTAGATTCTTTTACATTCTTCAATGAACAAATACTCTCCCAATTTAACTTAAGATCACTTAACCAGTTCCTACCTAGTAATGGCGGTCCATTTCCTTCAACCACAAGAAGAGGAAGTTTAACACTTTGACCATTATAACTTACATGAACCATACACTCTCCTATTACCGGAACATTGTCACCAGTGTATGTTGTTAGACACTTGTGACACGGCTGTAGAGACACTGATCCTCCTATGACAGCGTCAAAATATTTCTTTGTTATGACTGTTAGAGATGCTCCAGTGTCAAGTTGGAAGCTGATGCTCTTACCGTTGATATAAACTGGTACATTGATGGGAGCATGACTTATTGATTTCACAGAGAACAGGTTGAAATCCGGCTGCAAATCAATTTGAGCATTTTCACAGGTAGAGTGGTTCATTGGTTGGGTTAGGTAGTCTTGGTGAGAGTTAACATAGTGCTGCCTTTGGTTGCGGTACTGTCTTGACTGGCTAGATTTAGCAACAGACGAAGACTTTGCAAAGCAGGCCTTGGCAATGTGACCTTGCTTACCGCACTTATAACAAGTTGCAGATTTGAACTTGCACCGATGAGATGCATGGGGACCTTTGCATCGATGACATATTTGATAATTATTACTAGATTTAGATCTAGGATTTGAACGAGCAGGCTGTTTAGCATAAGTTGGAATGCTCTGATGGGGTTGATGTTTATTGACTAACCTGCTGTTTACTGCATGGATCTCTGAAGGTGCTAAAGATCTCGCCGCATCTGATGACTGCTGGAATGACATTGCAAGTTGTATTGCTTTTTCCAATTTTAGATCTGACTCGAGCAGCAACTTTCTTTGAATATCAGGGCTGTTTACACCTGTCACAAACTTTTCACATAATCTGTCAGACAGCGTGTCTCCGAATTCACAAAATTCACTTAAATGACGTAAAGCAGCAACATATTCTGGTATTGACTCGTTTGGTTGACGAGTCCTACTGTCAAATCTAGCTCTACATAGAAACTTTGATGGGGTAGGCGCATGGTGGTCTGTTAGCAATTTGCTCAGCTCGTTAAAGCTCTTGGTATTTAGACTAGCTGGTGCGCATAAGTCTTTTAGTAGCCTAAATTGTTGAGGCCCTATGACTGTTAACAAAACAGCTCTCTTTTTGGCTTCTATCGTCACGTTGTTAGCCTCTAGGTAAAAGCTTAACCTCTCTAGGTAATCTTGAATGATTTCATCATTCGCATCAAATTCTTTTATTTGGCCATACAGCGCCATAATTCTAGAAATAATTAGCTAATAAGCTCTAGCAAACCTCTTTTTTGCGTAAGTAGGTGCTCTTTCTAGTAGATGTTCATCCTCGTCGCCAGTTGAGGTAGATTAAGAATTACACAACGGAGACAGAAGCCCTTAACATGTAAACAGCTTTAATTGTTAACCGGCAAGACGGAAGTGACGAGAGACACAAGTAAGGGACATCACTCAAGATAACAATATAAATATAATACCAATACAATTATCTCAATCTATTACACTATATATCAGCAAATGGCAGCATGGAGAAAGAAATGGCCACCAGAATAGCAATGGCAGCACAAGCTTTCAACAGACTTGCTAAGATCTGGAAATCATCCTCACTGCAGCAGAGAACTAAAATAACGATCTACAAGTCTAATGTACGTTTTGTACTCCTCTATGCTGCAGAGTCATGGAAACTAAACAAGAAAGGAGAGAGCCGACTCAGAGGATTTGAAAGAGCATCCCTCCAACGTATCCTTAGAATAAAGTGGGACGACAAAGTCCCGAACAAGGAAATATGGCGAAGGACAGGATTAAACGACATTGTCTCAGAAGTTCAAATGAGGAGATGGAGATGGCTGGGCCATGTCCTACACATGAGCAAAAGAAGACTCCCCAACATGGCGCTGAAGTGGACTCTGCCTGGAAAGCGAAAGAAAGGAAGACCACTGGGAACATGGAGGAGAGAGATGGAAGAAGAAGTACAGGCTACTGGCAAGACCTGGCATGAACTAAAGTGGATCGCCCAAGACAGAGTGGAATGGCGGAGATTTGTTGCTGCCCTATACTCCACAGGGAGTGATGAGGATTAAGTAAGTAAGTAAGTAATTAGTTTATAACTTACTGCTGTTTTTATTTTATCTGCTAAAGTTGCAAATGTTAAAGAAGATTTTATTGTCAGCTCATTTGTCCATTCTTGTCCTACAATTACAAGTGTACCTAGATATATGTAGGGAGCTGGGGAAAACACATAACACATTTTGTTTTTAATACTTAAAGAACAATTATTCAATCAAATGGTAAATACAATGAAATTTTAGACTAAAAACCCACACATTTCCTTAGAGAGTAGCCTAGGATGAATGCTAGTAACTAGCTAAAATCTGACCTCTGATGCAGTTATCACCAACAAGTCCAGGAAAACAGAGACAGGAATAAGATCCTGGGCTATTGCTGCAGTACTTGTTAGACATTCCACAAACAGTGAGATTTTCACACTCATTCACATCTGCAGTATTAAAAATCAGAATGAACATTAGCAGGTAACCATTAGTGCTTTCAAAATTCAATAATATGCTTAAGTATTTAGTGTGATTATTTGTCATGCAACCATAATATAAATTCTTGAATACATGTTTATCCATTAAGAAATGGAACCACACTTATTTAAAAGCTGGTAGAAAACATTTTATAAACTATTTTTAATAAATACATTTAAATTTGAATTTCTTTCTAGGCACAACATTTTGAGAGATCAGATATTGTTTGTAGTTTATATAGAATGTAGAATGTAATTAATTGTTTTAACAAGCTGAAACTATTGATGTAAACTATTCAATGAACACCAGGTTTGGCAACAACTTTAATTACCTGTACACGTGTTACCATTCTGGAGAAATCCTGCCTTACATCCACACAGAGAGGACCCAGCTAAATTTGTACAGCTTTGCTCACATCCTCCATTGTTGTTAGCACATTCGTTTATATCTTCATGTTTTGAAAGTCATTTTAATTATAAAAATCAACATAACCTTTAAATAAAACTGATTCTTTTCAACAATAATTTGTACATTATGTGCTATTTATTAGAAAGTTTTATTATCACAATTCTGTTTAGATGTTAAATTAAAGTGATAGCAATTTATACATTAGTATTTAAAGATTTACCTGTGCATGTTTTCCCATCACCTTCATAGCCAGTTGGACAAGCAGAGCAATAATCAGCAGCTGTTTGATTACATGCTGATGTGTTGAAACAGTTTTCACAAACATTAGCAGCTATCTCACAGTACTGTCCCTTGGATCTCTCATCACATACACAAGCAACACTGTGTACATTACCTGGCAATAAAAACGGTGGGAAAAGTTTAGTAAAGATTGTGACAGCCTGTTGGCTTGTATGAAAGTGTTTAGCTGAAAGTGTTTACCATTGAAGTCACCAGCTACATCTGTGTAAGGGGAAAGTTCATAGTTACACTGGTTTTCCTTTTCACACAAACAAAGTAGAATACGAGGCTTATATTGTCCTGTATTGTTATTTGCATCTCTGGCTGTAATGGCTAGTGTTTTGGGAAATTTATAATTTCGCAGTGATTCCAACTCTAGACTGATATTCCAAGTGATGGTCGTATTTTCTGAAAGATATATTTTAAAAAGAAAAAGATATGCATTAATAATTTACAATCAATTACTTGTTGAAATTTATAATTCCAGGTTTTAACAAACAAGTAAAGAAACAACTTTAATTTGTAAAAACATACTTCAATTTTATAATGCATTTCTATATCTAGTATGATAACAATATATGAAGATATGAGAGGAAAAAAACTAACTATGATAATACAATTTGTTTCTGGAACTAAAAATTTTAAACAGTTACATGATTAGGAAAGAAGAATAAAAATATTTTTATATTTTCTGTTTAACTCCAATCTTCTTCACTATATATTTTAACCATATAATTTTCAATAAAGTTTAACATACTTTTATAAATTACAAATTTTTACCTAAAACAAGTCCTTTGCTGCTTTCAAACCCATCTTTTGTTAATGTCACTGAAACATTTCCTTGAAACTTCAGTTCCACTGTCAAAGCTTTAGAACCATTTATTCTGTATTCCGTCATGTTATTAGCAAACACTATTGTTTTAATTTCTGTAATGAAAAAACAAAATTACAATACTTTTTTTTTAAATCAAGGCTTTTTAAGATTGGACTTTTACCTTAGCTGCTAAAATTAGCACTTTTCTTTACATAAAGTTAAAAAACTTACCACTCTCCTCCTTAATTGAATCAAGGGCTGCCACTTTATTTTGTGTTTCTAGTGCTGTACTATTGCTATTGAACGCAAAATAATCTTGCAAACAGAAAATTTCTTCTTTGCAAAGTTGACTTGCCTGGCAAGAAAAATGTTTATCACAAGTGAAAACCTGAGTGTAGCAACAGTTATATTAGTATGTTAACATTTATTATATCTTGTTTGTTAGTGATGTTTATTCAGTTCAATATCCAGGATAATACCAATGTTTTCTCACACCAACCTGGCTAGTTAGAGTTTTTATCAAAACAGTCTAAAAACTTTTCTTAAAGGCTATGATTCTGTTTATTGGAACAGGTTTAACTTGTAAAAATACTCTTTTAAAGTTGCACTTTATAATTATATTAATCTATGTGAGGTTACCATTGCTTCTTCATTGCTGTCATTAAACATTTTCAACATATCTTCAGCTGAAGTTGGGAATTCCTCTGGTTCATAATTGACCACAGTTGTTCTTTTTTCAAAAGATGACACATTTATTTTCCCTTTTGAAAAAAAAAACAACTTTGAATTCAAAAGTACAAGTGTTTTTTACTTAATTAATTTTTCATCCTGAATTCCTTCTATAAACTGTAAATTGCTTTGAGTAACAATAAAGTAACATAATTTTTTATATGGCACTTATAGGATAGTTATGTTTATAAAAAGGATTTAATCTTTACTTGTAGGTATAACATGACTTTTTAAATGTTGACAATTTTTTTCTATTACAAAACTTCTTTCTTACATGACTCCACAAATTCATTGATAGTTTTAGTACTCTGCTTTGAAGCTGTGCCAGAAATAGTTGTCCCATTTTGGAATTGAAAATCATTAGAAGCGTTATTGTCAAGAGTGCCTAATAAACCAGATGTGGTCAGGTTGCCATTGTAAACATATACTGTATATGACATAACATTTCCATTCAGAGAGACCTGGAGAAATGTGATGTTTAGATGATTAATCGCAGTGATCTTATTCTTATCCAGTATTTTAAAATTTTGGATTCAGGTAAACAAAGAGACTAAAATCTTGCAATTATAAATAGTTTTCAAAGTTTGAAAACAGAAGAAACAACAAAAAAGAGAAAACATTTGAAAGACATAAAAATCACACATCAATTAATCATTTTTAAAAAAAACCAAATTACCTGTAAGACCCAATTGACTGTTGAGAAATTGACAATGGTATTTGAAACAGGCTGTACATGATACTGAAGCCCATCTGGCAACTGGTTTCCAGCCCACTTTGCTAGCAGTTCTGCATTAACATTGGTATACACAAAACTTGCATTTTTCACCTGAGGGAAATTAATTATTAATTTAAAAAATGGAAGCTAGAACCTAGAATAGTAATGTAACAGAGGACTGTCAAGAAAAACCATAGACCTAAGAGCAATCACATCAGCATGGATTGAAATTGTAGAAGCAGATATGATTGTGCAGGTCAAAGCCCTAAATGGGTAACAGCTGTTTATATTGATGGATAGCTTGATCTGCTTAAAAATTATATTTAAAACAGTCATAAAAGTAATAGCTTACTTTAATTGCAAAAGAAGTAAAGTAAGTTGTATTGACACTTCCATGTTTCTCTGTACGCCCTTGTAGTTCAACATCTCTGTAATGACATTTTTATTCAAATGTTTGATTCAATATTATGTATTATGTTTTTAAAAATTTACAAAATCATCAGAGAAGGATTTTATGGATAAAAGACATGTAGAGCTAAGATTTTAAGCAATATAGAGGAAACTTTTTATCCCTAAGGTTCAAAGTTCAACCTGAAGTGGTGTAGCTGTGACATGCATTAGGTTGTATGATAAGCTGGTAATACAAACTCTCAGTAAGTCCTGGTTGGAGATTATTTTCTCAAAAAAACTAGGTTTAAACTAAGGTTTATGGGAGATGGCAAGAGTGGGAAAAATCAGCCTGTAGGCTGTCAAAGATGATTTAAATTTAGAGCTGTATGTGATGTATAAAATTAACTGTTTAATCCCATAAGTCTAATGCAGGGGTCTCCAAACTATGGCCCGCGGGCCGGATGCGGCCCGCGAAGTCCTCTCATCCAGCTCGCTGAGATCTTTTTGTCCAAGGAAAAATCGTTTGTTGGTGATGGTTGAGGAACTTTGCCCAGAAAAATCAGACATGCCTGGAAGAAACTGGCCCCCGAACTGAAATTTGATGGGTAATGCGGCCCTCGGACTGAAAAGTTTGGAGACCCCTGGTCTAATGTAATGGTCTTTCACTCTCACTAATGTTAAACTATAGAAAATTAAAAAATATTTATTAGACTAATATACTTGTATTTACTTTTTACTACAGTAATGGTAGCTTCTCAAATTGTATAAATAATACAGACCCACATATTACTCTTAATATAATTGTGTCCATATTTAACAATGTCATCATCATTTTTTTCTGGCTCCTAAGAATTATTTTTATCTGTAATCAATTACCCCAGTCCTAGTTTTTAACATTTGATTGTCGTTATAAAGTAACAAAAGATAACAACTGAAATAATACTTAAGGATTAGACTTACCCTAGTTTAAGAACTATAAAATCCCCAATGTCATTCAAGGTATATTTGTTGCCATCAAAAGTTTTTAGATGAGAATATCCATATCCCCAGGCTAGAGATAAAAGTTGTTTTAACACAAAAAATAAAACTTGTTAAAAAGTCTCAAAACTTCTTAAAACATTTTAATAACTCTAAATGACTAACTTTATATGTATAAAATTGTTCTTGTTTTCACAAGAACATCTTCACAGACGTCTCAATACTTTAACTATTTTTTTAGACACAAAGTACAACAGCTCTTCTTAACCCCTTTACCGTGTGTCACGAGTTAACTCGTCATATAAAATCTTGGGCTTAACCGTACATCACGAGTTAACTCGTCTTCAGATAAAAAAGTCGTCTGTGTGCCGTGCGTCCCGAGTTAACTCGTCTTGATACGAAAATAGCATTGGAAATCAATAACAATGTAGAGGGAGGCTAATCTAACAGCCAATTCAACAGCGGATGATAAAAATAGGTCAGGACAACATAACAAATCAAATAATGAAAAAAAAACAATTACACGGTTTCCAAAAAAAAAAAAAAAAAATTTTCCACGGTAAAGGGGTTAAAATGGAACCTTTGAAAACTGAATTTTATACTGCAGAGCTGTATAAAAGGAGTAGTTGAATGGTAGAGCATTTGACTGCTAACCCAAAAATCTAGAGTTCAGATCCCAGGGGCTCGAGTTCATATGACATTGCTGAGCTCTCACTGCTCTGATGGGTACCTGACTCACGTTAGAGAAAGTAAAGGCACTTGGGCTTAGTACTGTGCCACACTATCCCTTCATTTGCTGAGGTCAAAGAAAAAGGTGGACTCTACTCACCTGCTCCATGGACTGTAAGGTTTAAAAGGGTACTTTACTTACTTAGTAGGCTTCAAATGAGACGTAACATTTGTACCTGTGTTTATTTTGAGTTTTACCTGTTTGTAGCTTGTAAGTGCATTCAGGTAACTGAGCCTCTGATGTCAGCCACTTACAGGCTGCAGGTGCATCCTTACAGCACTGAGATAACTTATTATTCAGTTCTGCGCTTTTGAAGAGCTGACCAGATCTTAAACATCAAATAAAAATTATTTTAACATTTTTTTAAGTCTAGGTTTGCTCTTTTATATTGATAGGAATATTTGTTTAGCTCAAATTTATATTCATTTTTGTTTTGTTTAAACTAACATTTGAATCAAGGATTTAAACAACTATATCATCCCATACAGTGATTGTACAACAGAGTGCATAGCTGCTAACATGAAAGTCTAGAGTTCAAATCCCAGTCTGTTTTATGTCCTTGAGTCCACCCAGCTCCGATGGATACCTGACTCACAATAGAATAAATGAAGTTGCTGGCATAGTGTTGATCACAGTATCCTTTCATACACTGAGTTTACAGAAGCAGGTCCTCTACTAAGGACATATAAGGTACAACTACTCCCCAACCATTTCATCCCATGAAAGAATGTTTCATTTGATGTAAACAAAAAATGTCATTATTTCACTAATCACACAAATTGCATCCAGTCATTACTCACGTGTCATAACAACAATGAGCATTTATTGTAGGTACTTGACTGGTATAACAGTTATTTGATCCAGTTGTAAATCTTAAATCCATTTTTGACTGAAATTAATAATAAGAAGTTGTTACTGTCAATAAATTTCAACAAAATGTTGCATTTGAGAGTAGCTCAAGTACTTCCAAGGACATCAAAACTTTATAGAAGATAAGTTTAATCAGATTACTTTACCTGATTCAAGTTACAAGGACATTTGTTCTCAGATGACTGATTGTTGTATTGTGAAATAGATGCCTGTAAATCTTTCACACAGTTCACCACTGAGCTGATGTGTTGTTGTTGATCAAAAGCAAGAACATCAGCACGAGACCAGCTTACTGAAAGAAATAAAGAAGACACAAATGTTACACATTTCTCTCAAGCAGTATACAACATTGCTTGCTACTGATTTTTTTAAATTGGTTTAATAACATAATATACAAAATATTTAAATTAGTGATGCTTTTAGTGGCAAAAAAAAGATTTTTAAATGTAGAACAGAAAATACTTATTTTGTAATCAGAATCTATCATTCTATAAAATATTTCTAGTGTATCTATTAATTTTATCTATGTATTGTACAAGTGAAAGAAAGTATTTTCAATCCATATTTTCAACAAAATATTTTTGTTTACTTTAATACATTTTGGCTTCTAATTTTTGTTTCTGCCTTGTAGTTTTACAAATATTTTTTAAAATATATATTTCTGTTAGTAATGTTAATATTAAAATCTACACTTCCATATAATAAAGTAAAAAAACATTGAATGATTAGTGTTTGATTAAAGTACAACTTACCAGGAACTTTATCTTGTGTCAAAATTGCATTCTTCCATGTATAGGTCTGATACACCAGAGGTCTGCCCACAATATTTATATTGTTCCACAAGGCAGCATAGTTTTTTATTGCAAATGAATTCACCCCGTCGGTAGCAAGGATTAGCTGGAATGTTGCTTTCTGTGATGTAGTGAATTAAAAAGACCTTTTAACTTTTAAAAGCTTTACTTATGTGTAATTATAATCGTAAACATTCATGTAATTATAGACATTTATGAGATTATCAAACTATAAATGTTAAAAAAGGTACTAAATAAGTTTAAAAAATGTAATTACATGCATCTGCATTTTGAATACTAATAATAATTAAGTGTTGTTGATTACATGCCTGTAATAACATAATTACATAGTTAATATTGAGACAGTCTTTAAATATGTGTTTAAATTTTTATTTTGTACCTGCAACTATTTTACAAATAATAATAAAAATTTATGATCAATAAAATGAAGGTAGAACATGTATACTTGCAATCACATTTTAAACTTATACACTTGAAAACTAGGAAAAATTACATACGTCATTAGGGTATTTAGTGGCAGGATACGGCTGAGCACCGTCCCATGTTGCAGCAATAACATACAAAGGTTGAAATGATGAATAAGTTGATGAAAGCACTTTCTTCACAAAAGTTGACAATGAACTGCTTGTATCCAAACTACTAGCATTTGGCTTTTCCTTAAAAGAAGTATGTAATACAATAGACCAAACACTGATTTTGTACATATGCATATATATATATATATATATATATATATATATATATATATATATATATATATACATATATATATATATATATATATATATATATATATATATATATATATATATATATATATATATATATATATATATATATACATATATATATATATAGGTGTGTGTGTGTGTGTATAAGAAGATTAGGTTAAATGAATTAAACCTGTTGGAAATGTTTAATTAATGAATTTTGTCTCTCATTATCATTATGTATTTTAATTGAATCAATCCATTGCCCATAAAAACGCCTTTTTTAATATACAAAAGAAGTTTTATAACATACTTCATAAACGTACAACCAAGTTTGATTCTGTATACTGAGATTTGCCCAGTAAACTCCCAAGTAAATTGGAGACAAGGGCCAATTTGCTTTCAGAGGTGGCTGTTCCAAAAGAAGTCCATTGTCTAAAGATGCATAGCCGTTTTTGTAGATCTGAGGATTTATTTAGTACACATTCATTGTTTGTGAGGGAAAATATTGATTTGTTAACACATTCATTATTTGTGACAAAGTGGATTGGCCTTAATTTTGTATTTTTTGTCACAAGATGCTAAAAATTAAGATTTTAAATAAACCGGGAGTGATCTCCCCTAAACTTTCTCTAATATTCCTATACGAGATAAATCCCCCGTTGAGGGAGAGATACAACGGGCGCTAGGTTGATAATGTTGTCTTATTCTCTAAATCGAAACCAAAAACAAGATTACCACCTCAACTTCAAATTTAACTGGAAACGAAAAATGTCATTGAAAACGGATTTCTGACCAGAATCGGCTTTTTAACGGGAATTAAGCTAGATCTACGCGTAGTTACTGCATATTGATATTAAACATAGTCGAAGTCATATCCGTAAACCTTGCATCTAATCTCAAACACGGCACACACCCTAAACACGTCTACCGTCCCATTCAACGAAATATAATTTTTATAGAAAACAGTGTCCGCCCCCTTCCAAAAAACTTAGTCCACCCTCACACCCGAAAATTTCAAGTACCCCCCACCCCTGAAAGAATCACTGGTCGCATTTGTAGATCATACAAACTAAAGGTAGAGCCTACTTCTATAATAAAGACCTGTTTCCTACTTTTCGCTGATACATTTCACACAGTGTTCGTTTCAGGCTTTTTTCCGGGGGGTAGGGCACTTGAATTTTTTTACACTGGTAAAGTATATATTTTCTATATAAATTATACTAGGTTTTTTTTTGGGGGGGGGGGATTAGACGTTCTATCGTGGGGGGGGGGATTAGTCGTTCTACCAAGGGACGGGGCTGGGGAGGGACTTCGCCCCTAACCGAAAAGATGCATGAAAGAAACTCTTCAAGCAAAACACTTATATCATTAGACACATAATTTAGGCCGTAATGTCAGTATTTTTATTATAAAGAATCGATGACGTGATTTTTTTGCCCGATTAAAATAAGTCCTCTATACTCCAGATATGATGAAGGACTGAGGTGTAAAACGGTGTAAACTGTCAAAATTTCATGTGATTTTTGTACACGATTACAATACTTTCTCTTTACTCTGTGTACGAGACAGTAAAAAGGAAACAGTACAATGTTTAGATAACGTTTATTTCAAAATATGTCAATACTTACAGAGATTTGATTGAAAATTCTCCCATAATAGGAAAATGGAATAGCTGTGCTGATACTGCATACAGTTGTATTACACTGTCTTGTATAGTTTTTGTAGTCTTTCCACAAGGTATCAGCTAAATTACATTTAATATAAAAATATTTAAAAACATATGCTGAAAAACTGATATATTCATAAATTGTGTGTATATATATATATATATATATATATATATATATATATATATATATATATATATATATATATATATATATATATATATATATATATATATATATATGTATATATATATATATGTATATATATATATATGTATATATATATATATATATATATATATATATATATATATATATATATATATATATATATATATATATATATATATGTATATATACATATATATATACATATATATATATATGTGTGTGTGTGTATATATATATATATATATATATATATATATATATATATATATATATATATATATATATATATATATATATATATATATATATATATCCTACATAATAATAGACACATTTATAAGAGAGTGTATATATTAAGCTCATTTTTTTTTACTTCTAAATCTGATCTCCTCTAGACCTACACATTTTTTAATAATTTGATAACTTGTCATTGTTAGCAGTTTATATGAAGTAGGACTGCAGACATTACAAGCACATTAATCTCAAGTAGCCTCCCTTACCTCTACAGACGCCGTCAACATCGAGGTATCCATCAACACACGGACACGTGTAGGAGCCGGCTGTGTTGACACACGTTGAATGCTCACGGCAAGAGACAGGTTGAATTTTATTCGCACACTCATCAATATCTGTTGACACAAGTGATCTATGAAACACTGATAGCATTATAAGAGTTATATCTATTGTATTCTGGCGCCTCTTCCACCCCAATTCAGTGTATCAGTATCAGTCTGTTAAGACAAGCAGCAGTCTATTTTCTTTAACTTCGACTGTGTAGAATGCAGTAATGTTGCTCACAACGAGATATCTTTTTTTTCTAACCCGTTTGACGTCAGAGTTTCTTTCAGGACCACCGCACCCCCGCCAGTTTTTTCTTTCAGACTTTTTTCTCCACGGGGGCACTTGATATTTTCGGGGGGGGGGGGGGCTCAAAGAAATGCCTGGAAGAAACTCTGACCCCGCCTTCCCTCCACCCCTGAACGAAAAAGAATTTATGTAGAAAATATATACTTGTACCAGTGTCCGCCCCCCCCCCCCCCTCGAAAATTTTAAGTCTGGAAGAAAAAAAAATGTCTGGAAGAAAAAAAAATGTCTGGAAGAAAATAATGTCTGGAAGAAACACCGTTTGGCGCCCCCTCGGGACGGCCGCCCCACCTGCCCTCTGTTGCTTACCACAATCCTGCTGCTATTTAGCCTAAATATTCATACACAAAAAACCTTCAGTGGACTAATCGTCAGTGTTAGCTAAGTCACCTGCCTTGTGCACTATCATTTGCCGGAAGGTTTGAACAGCCTAACTCATGGTGTAATGAAATAGCTCTCTCTAGTTTTACTAATACCATATCATAAAGGCTACCATCTTATTTTGTATGTCTTATTTATTGAAGTATAATATAGCTAAGCGTGTGTATTCTGAGCTTTTTATTATATAGCTTTATATAGATTTTGCGTCATTATGACGTCTACACAAACATAACGCAAATCTTTTTTATGCTTCTTACACGCCCTTCTTCAGCCCTCCCCCCCCCCCCCTCTCCTCAAAGAAAAAAAAACAGCCTATATAATTTAGATAGAAAAAATAAAAACTTATAAATATAACTAGTGTCAGTACCCTCCTTCCCCCACCCCCCCCCAGAGGCGTAGCGACCCAAACTTTTCTATTTGTCCCCCCTCGAGATTTCCATTTGCACCCCCCCCTCAAACTTTCGATTTGCACCCCCCCTCGAGATTTCCATTTGCAACCCCCCCCTCAAACTTTCGATTTCCACCCCCCCCCCCCCCCTCGAGATTTCCATTTGCACCCCCCTCAAACTTTCGATTTGCACCCCCCTCAACCTTTCAATTTATTTTTCCAACCCATTTTGGCGCCCCCTAAGGTCGGCGCCCGGGGTCATATGTCCCCCCCCCCCATATCGGAAATTTATGTCCGCCCCTTCCTCCAGCTGAAAATTTCGATCCCCCTCTCCTCCCTCCATTCCGGAGAAAAATGTCTTTAAGAAACCCTCGTCCTTGCGGCATACATTTCAGCGCATGTATGAATTGTGTGAACTAGTTTTGTGCTAATCACAACCCTAAAGCTGAATATGTCAGGGCTATATCACAGTAAAATGTTTACACTAATCACCCAGCTGATACTACTCGATACTAGCGACAGCTAGTCTCTAGTACACTGAAGTGTATATCAAGTCCTTTGATTACTTTTATCTTTCAGACCAAGCGATTTCTGCACTATGTTGTGTAACAAAATTGAGAGAAAATCGGTTGACATTCCCTCACATAAGCATCAATATAGAGTTAGACTTTCAGCTTTAAGGTCGATACAATCGTAATTCTTATCATTGTGTTACTCTAAATTTTCAAACAAGAATCAAAAAGGAATTTATTAGACTAATTAAGTACCTACAACAGTGGCGTAACTAGGATTTTCGGGCCCCTATGCAAAAATTATTATTAGGACCCTTGATTAATTTGTAAATTGTGTATTTTATACGTCCATAGTTGTGTATTTATACGGTATTATTATGTAGTACCCAGTAGCGTAAAATACCTTTGATTTTATTTTACTTTTATGAAAAAGCAAACTAACAAATTAACTGTAACCTTGTAATCTTTAAGTAACCTAACACAGTAGCTAAGCGAGACGGGGGCCTCACAATTTAAGCGTTACACCATGACGAAAACTCGTAAAATTTACTGTCAAAACTATGTTTTATTCAGTTACAATAACACAATATTAAAGAGAGGGGGTAACACTCCAATGGAAATGCAAAAGTGTTTGACGGGGTGGGGGTGACAATCACTAAACGCACAGGGTGATATCAAACCTTATGACGCCACTAACCAAATACACATTTTTAAAAGTTGCTCATGATTTATTTAGATTTGTGTTTTTTTCTTTCTTATAAGTTTGCAAAGTCCATTTTAGGCCAAGTTACTGACCCAAAGGGCATATCTACAATTTGTTTAATAACATCATCATAATGGAGAGACTTGGTGCGCCCAACTGTATATTACTGTCGAGGCGGCTGGAGGACACTTATTTTCTTTAGCCATTGATTATAGTAGCCCTCTGTATCCCTAGGGCATAGCGCTCATTAAAACAAGTATATGTGCCGTAGTGCTCACGGGGGGGGGGGGTAGCCCGGGGCGCCGGCTGGTGCACCTGTGCAGTTTGATCGTTAAATAAAGTAGTAACCCTGACAACTTGTGCAGGACACCCAATCAACTGACCCCAGGTGCTATGAAAACCGATTGGAAACTCTGGGTGGCAAACCGAACCGTCTTACTGTCAAAGGGCCGCTCTCCGAACGAAATTTTTAAAAATGTAATGGCAGAACAATGAGACATACAAAAATCTTTAAGTAGCGGCATATTGATTAGAGATAAATTAGATCAACAAAACCAATTGTGATTAAGGTTAAAACTAGAAAAACAGTTACACATTTTCGACGTAGCTTGTTGTAAAAACACTGTCCACTGCTGTTATTTTAACAAATCGCTCAGTTGTAATCATAGATGGATGGAATTTCGGTGAGGACAGAGAGTTGAGAGGGAGGGGGTGCAGGTTTGTGGCAGAGGGGTAGAGAGTTTTTAGCGATGCGTATATATTTGCTGGTGCCGGATGCCAATCTCACAAAAGAGTCAATGTTCAAGTTTGTTTATAGGCTAATACTCTTAACGGCATGCCAGACAATGCATTGATGCCTATAGTGTTATTAATACCGATGGGCCCTGTCCAAACCCTCCCCTGTAAGAAAGGTTTGGGGGGGGGCCTTTTTTAACTTTTGATTACTTCTACAGTAGAAAAGAAATTGGATTTCTGTTTTCTTTTTAAAATTATCTTTATAAAACAAATATTACAATTCTAATGTACACGTTTTTTTTAATTTTAAGAGGGAAAAGGGCCCCTATTTGCCTTGGGCCCCTATGCCTTGCTTACGCTAGCTTTACGGTAGCTACGCCACTGCCTACATATGTGGCACTTTACCAATGCTTCCCGTATGGTATACGTGTGACAATCATGCTTCAAGTACCGTATACATGTGTGACACTCATACTTCAAGTACCGTATACATGTGTGACACTCATGCTTCAAGTACCGTATACATGTGTGACAATCATGCTTCAAGTACCGTACATGTGTGACACTCATGCTTCAAGTACCGTACATGTGTGACACTCATGCTTCAAGTACCGTATACATGTGTGACACTCATGCTTCAAGTACCGTTCATGTGTGACACTCATGCTTCAAGTACCGTACATGTGTGACACTCATGCTTCAAGTACCGTATACATGTGTGACACTCATGCTTCAAGTACCGTATACATGTGTGACACTCATGCTTCAAGTACCGTACATGTGTGACACTCATGCTTCAAGTACTGTACATGTGTGACACTCATGCTTCAAGTACCGTATACATGTGTGACACTCATGCTTCAAGTACCGTACATGTGTGACACTCATGCTTCAAGTACCGTTCATGTGTGACACTCATGCTTCAAGTACCGTACATGTGTGACACTCATGCTTCAAGTACCGTATACATGTGTGACACTCATGCTTCAAGTACCGTACATGTGTGACACTCATGCTTCAAGTACCGTATACATGTGTGACACTCATGCTTCAAGTACCGTATACATGTGTGACACTCATGCTTCAAGTACCGTACATGTGTGACACTCATGCTTCAAGTACCGTATACATGTGTGACACTCATGCTTCAAGTACCGTACATGTGTGACACTCATGCTTCAAGTACCGTATACATGTGTGACACTCATGCTTCAAGTACCGTTCATGTGTGACACTCATGCTTCAAGTACCGTTCATGTGTGACACTCATACTTCAAGTACCGTAAATGTGTGACACTCATACTTCAAGTACCGTAAATGTGTGACACTCATGATTCAAGTACCGTATATATGTGTGACACTCATGCTTCAAGTACCGTATACATGTGTGACACTCATGCTTCAAGTACCGTACATGTGTGACACTCATGCTTCAAGTACCGTATACATGTGTGACACTCATGCTTCAAGTACCGTATACATGTGTGACACTCATGCTTCAAGTACCGTACATGTGTGACACTCATACTTCAAGTACCGTACATGTGTGACACTCATGCTTCAAGTACCGTATACATGTGTGACACTCATGCTTCAAGTACCGTACATGTGTGACACTCATGCTTCAAGTACCGTATACATGTGTGACACTCATGCTTCAAGTACCGTTCATGTGTGACACTCATGCTTCAAGTACCGTTCATGTGTGACACTCATACTTCAAGTACCGTACATGTGTGACACTCATGATTCAAGTACCGTATACATGTGTGACACTCACGCTTCAAGTACCGTACATGTGTGACACTCATGCTTCAAGTACCGTATACATGTGTGACACTCATGCTTCAAGTACCGTTCATGTGTGACACTCATACTTCAAGTACCGTACATGTGTGACACTCATGATTCAAGTACCGTATACATGTGTGACACTCATGATTCAAGTACCGTATACATGTGTGACACTCATGCTTCAAGTACCGTACATGTGTGACACTCATGCTTCAAGTACCGTTCATGTGTGACACTCATACTTCAAGTACCGTACATGTGTGACACTCATGCTTCAAGTACCGTATACATGTGTGACACTCATGCTTCAAGTACCGTTCATGTGTGACACTCATGCTTCAAGAACCGTTCATGTGTGACACTCATACTTCAAGTACCGTACATGTGTGACACTCATGATTCAAGTACCGTATACATGTGTGACCCTCATGCTTCAAGTACCGTACATGTGTGACACTCATGCTTCAAGTACCGTTCATGTGTGACACTCATGCTTCAAGTACCGTTCATGTGTGAGACTCATGCTTCAAGTACCGTACATGTGTGACACTCATGCTTCAAGTACCGTTCATGTGTGACACTCATGCTTCAAGTACCGTTCATGTGTGACACTCATACTTCAAGTACCGTTCATGTGTGACACTCATACTTCAAGTACCGTATACATGTGTGACACTCGTGCTTCAAGTACCGTACACGTGTGACACTCATCATGCTTCAAGTACCGTATACATGTGTGACACTCATGATTCAAGTACCGTATACATGTGTGACACTCATGCTTCAAGTACCGTTCATGTGTGACACTCATGCTTCAAGTACCGTACATGTGTGACACTCATGATTCAAGTACCGTATACATGTGTGACACTCATGATTCAAGTACCGTATACATGTGTGACACTCATGCTTCAAGTACCGTACATGTGTGACACTCATGCTTCAAGTACCGTTCATGTGTGACACTCATACTTCAAGTACCGTACATGTGTGACACTCATGCTTCAAGTACCGTATACATGTGTGACACTCATGCTTCAAGTACCGTTCATGTGTGACACTCATGCTTCAAGAACCGTTCATGTGTGACACTCATACTTCAAGTACCGTACATGTGTGACACTCATGATTCAAGTACCGTATACATGTGTGACCCTCATGCTTCAAGTACCGTACATGTGTGACACTCATGCTTCAAGTACCGTTCATGTGTGACACTCATGCTTCAAGTACCGTTCATGTGTGAGACTCATGCTTCAAGTACCGTACATGTGTGACACTCATGCTTCAAGTACCGTTCATGTGTGACACTCATGCTTCAAGTACCGTTCATGTGTGACACTCATAAAGTACCGTATACATGTGTGACACTCGTGCTTCAAGTACCGTACACGTGTGACACTCATCATGCTTCAAGTACTGTACATGTGTGACACTCATGCTTCAAGTACCGTACATGTGTGACACTCATGCTTCACGTAACGTATAGTGGTGTAACAATGTTTCAAGTACCTTATCAGTACGAAATTGTATAAACACAAAGCCTATTTAAGCCCCCCCAGCCTGTCGGCACTCGGTAGTTGGACCGTTACACCCACACGGCGGTGTAAACATCCATCGATTTATCTAGTATTGCGTCACGTGCCCCAGTAGGCTCTAGGCTTATCATGTTGATGTTGTTCAGTGGGCTCTAGGCTTATCATGTTGATGTTGTTCAGTAGGCTCTAGGCTTGTCATGTTGATGTTGTTCAGTAGGCTCTAGGCTTATCATGATGTTGTTCAGTAGGCTCTAGGCTTATCATGTTGATGTTATTCAGTAGGCTTTAGGCTTATCATGTTGATGTCGTTCAGTAGGCTTTAGGCTTATCATGTTGATGTTGTTCAGTCAACTAAGCCGTGCTATAAATACATTTGTTCTATTTTTAGGTCGAGGTGCAAATACATTTTTAGTTGCTTTAAAAACTTTGAATGAATATGTAACCAACAAACGGAAGTTAAATTTTGCAATCGCTACTGTCCTGGCTTATTAGCTTTATTTTTTTCTGACTGTATCATTCCGGTTGTTTGTTTTAACTGCATTAACGACGCCCCTCACTATATGGTATAATTTAATTAGGAACGGTTTTAAAGCGGAGGTGGTGTTGATCCGTGACTAACGCATGGCGGCCATTAAAAATAATGTTTACAACTTTGTTTATCGATTTAACTTCTGCGTTGTTTTTTTCGGTCACGTTTCATTATTTCTGCGTGGTCTGACCTCAACTTTTACCTTTGCTTCATTGGGTGTGTGTGTGGGGGGGGGGGGGGGAGGGGTAGTCTGATAATTTTTTAACACAGGCCATAGTGACTGTCTGTGGTCTTGAGCGGCCGCTCCCCCCCCCCCCTGGCCATTTTCAGCAAAGTGGCGCCTTTTTTGGAAACTTTTTAAACTCAAAGTTTTAAACAATGATTTTTGTTAAAAAATTATTTTTGGTCGTCGTCTATGTAAATCACAAGATTTCTTTTCATGCAGCAATTAAGCAGAATAGTACTATTCCAGTATCGTCTACGTTTACAACACATATTAACAGCTGTATCAAGTTTGTCATTCTAAAAATAACCATGTAGATGCATTGCAATTTTAAAAAACCTCTACGGGTAGTACCACTTGGCAAGAGGGGTGTTAATTTTAAGGCAACTGTATAATGTATTTGCTTAAGAGTAATTGATCTTGAAAATAATATACATACATCTTCACACATAATTACTTTATATATACAGTTTGAATCGTGTAATTTTTTTTAAAAAATTACAATACAGAAACAAATACAACTGATGTGGCACCTCTATTTAAATTTACTTATGGGCAAACTGCTTAGTGGTGGGGAAATTTTGACAAGGTCAACAATGTCATCATGATGAAGTAGTAGTATTATGACAGTTGGGCGATAGTGATTACGATTACAAATTATATGAAACAGTTACAAACCCCCTCCCCCCATAGACCCCTCTGTAAAAAAATAGTGTCCTAATACCACTGCTACTTATTTAAATCTATTTCTGAATCAGTATATATGTGTAATTGAATATGTATGTTTAGAACAATCATCTAAAAACTGACGCTATGTTCACTCTGTTAACCACACACACACACACACACACCTCACCACCACAATTGTGTAGAGCGACATTAATGTCACACCCAGGTATACACTGGGTTGGATAATTGACCTAAAGTGACTGGACAGTGGTGAATGAAGTTGAACCCCCCCCCCCCAACCCACCGCGAACTGATCTGTTAAGTACATTTGGGAAAACGCGTAACGATGTACCAAAGTACCATGCCGCCAGAATCATAGCTTTTGAATCAGGTAAAACTCTGTTAATATTGTTTTTGCTATTACCAGTAAACGTGATCTAACCCATACCTGATCACTATGTTAAAAAATGATCTTTAAAGAACACAAAAAGCAGTAGTTAATTAAAAGATGTATGATCTGAACTAAAAGACCGATAATTTAGTTAAATGTAAGCTATTATTCCTGATGTTTTTCTAAAACATTTAAAGCGTGTTTTTATACCAACCCTGATTTAAAAAACTATAATACTTTAGCATTTATGATGACGATATATTTATTAATTCTGATTGTAGAAAAAAAATTGAAAACACGAATACTGTTAAACAACTATATTACATTCTTAAGTAATTATTGATTTGTTTTGACATTTATAATTAAATATGTAGATATATACATATTTATATTAAGAGCGTGATTATTTCCCCTATTTTGCATGTCTTAATTAATGTCCCAGGGTTGTTTTTTTTTTAATTTGTTTTTACAGGAATTACAAAACAGATTGTGTTGCGTTTATTGTTTTTGGTTGTAGTGTATATATGTATTGGTTCTAGTGTATATATATATATATATATATATATATATATATATATATATATATATATATATATATATATATATATATATATATATATATATATATATATATATATATATATATATATATATATATATATATATATATATATATATATATATTGTTTACATTGATACATTTTTTGTTTTGTCGGCCTACATTGTGTGTTTTTTCTTATTTCTTCAAGTGCTACTTACAACTTATTTTACATCATAGCGAAGTAATGACATACGGCTAGTAAATATATATATATATATATATATATATATATATATATATATATATATATATATATATATATATATACGTATATAGAACGTGTTAAAAATCCGGCGCCTTTTTTTGCTCATTTCGCTCCCCCTACAACGAAAACCTGGATACGCCTCTGATAACCAGTGTTTCTTCCAGACTTTTTTTCTCCTGGGGGAGGCATTTTAAATCTTAGGGGGAGGGGGGGGCGGACTAAAATTTCCGGAGGGGAGGGGGGCGGACACTGTAAAAAGTATATATTTTCTAAATAAATTCCATTTCATGGGGGGGGGGGGGGGGGCGGTAGACTTTCTTGCTGTTCTGGTTAACTTTAAGTCGAAACTTTTTATATAAACTTTAAGTCGAAACCTTTTATATAAACTTTAAGTTCACAATGTCTATGTGGGGGTTTCGTGGCAAATCTTTCCAGATACAATTGTCCCCAATGACAATACCAGAATATCTCATTTTTAATATAATTAGATAAGTATTAATCGCTCATAAAATCTCTTGTAACAAATTTTCGTATTTTTAAATTTTCAGATCAATAAAAGCTTCCTTTTTTGTTGTTGCTATTTTGCGTGTTGCTTATTGCATTAATTTATAAACCAGTTTACTTTGCTAGTAGCCAAATGATAAATCACCAGTATCTGATTTGTCACTAATCTAGTCACGGGTTGTCATTAATTTTCCATCAATTGTCTCCCCTTAATTTTTTTAAATCCAGAGTTTTCTCCCTTGAATTGCTCACCTTCCGAACAGTTTCTGCCGGTCCAACCTTCATCACACGTGCACCAGTAGCTGGTTTCGTTGGCGCTACACACTCCGTGCTTACACGGCACACTGGAGCAGGGGCCCAGGGCTACATGGAGGTCATCAAACAGGATTAGACATGGAGGTCAACATGATTAGACATGGAGGTCATCAAACAGGATTAGACATGGAGGTCAACATGATTAGACATGGAGGTCATCAAACAGGATTAGACATGGAGGTCATCAAACATGATTAGACATGAAGGTCATCAAACATGATTAGACATGAAGGTCATCAAACATGATTAGACATGGAGGTCATCATGATTAGACATGAAGGTCATCAAACAGGATTAGACATGGAGGACATCAAACAGGATTAGACATGAAGGTCAACATGATTAGACATGAAGGTCATCAAACAGGATTAGACATGGAGGTCATCAAACATGATTAGACATGAAGGTCATCAAACATGATTAGACATGGAGGTCAACATGATTAGACATGGAGGTCATCAAATATGATTAGACATGAAGGTCATCAAACAGGATTAGACATGAAGGTCATCAAACATGATTAGACATGGAGGTCATCAAACATGATTAGACATGAAGGTCATCAAACAGGATTAGACATGGAGGTCATCAAACAGGATTAGACATGAAGGTCATCAAACATGATTAGACATGAAGGTCAACATGATTAGACATGGAGGTCATCAAACAGGATTAGACATGAAGGTCATCAAACAGGATTAGACATGGAGGTCATCAAACATGATTAGACATGAAGGTCATCAAACAGGATTAGACATGAAGGTCATCAAACATGAATTAGACATGGAGGTCATCAAACATGAATTGAACATAACACAGTTACAAACTGATACAAGCACGATTAGATAAACAGTTACAGATACAAACAAAATTAGATAGAAAACTGATACAAACTCCCTTAATTAGAGTTACGCTGTTAAAAACGTGTGTGGGCGTCGTATGAAGACCATGACAGCATGAATGTTGTCGATGGGGGGGGGGGGGAGAGAGAGAGATGGAGTCATACAAAACATTTTTGATGAGACTATTACATTTTAAACACCCACAAAAGATAAATCAAAATTTCCGTAGGATTCTCCTCTTCACTGGGATGTAGTTTTAATGTTGCCAAATGACTGACTTACCTCAGACAAACACTATCTTCATCTAACGACAAAGTGACTTACGTTTGACTGTAGTAGTCGTGGTGGTTGTGGGCGCTGTAGTAGTCGTGGTGGTTGTGGGCGTTGTGGTAGGCATGATGGTTGTGGGCACTGTTGTTATGGGCGCTGCTGTTGCTGGTGGTGTTGTTGGGGGCGCTGCTGTTGCTGGTGGTGTTGTAGGGGGCGCTGCTGTTGCTGGTGGTGTTGTTATTGGCGCTGCTGTTGCTGGTGGTGTTGTTATTGGCGCTGCTGTTGTCAAACTTGACGATGCTGTGGTAAATGCTGTTGTTGCGTTTACTGCGTCAGTACCGTTGGATGTGGAAGTTCCATTGTCCGCAGACGATGAAGTGTTGGTCTGCTCGGTGCCGGAGGCCTGACTGGTACAGCCTTGTGTCAGCAGCACCAACACCACAAGCACTGACAGAAGATGGGCGCGCGCTGACATTTTTATCTGGCACCGTCTGTCAAATGATGAAAATAGTCCAGAAAACTCCCCAAGTTTGAATCAACAAACACACATCTCCAACTCAACAGTATCGTCTCCTTGTGTGGCTTCAGCCAATCTATGAGAGCGGAATTCTTTGTTTAACTGAAAAGAAAAAGCGTTCATAAGTCAAGTGAAATCGTCGACCTAGATCTAATAAACCTAGCGAAGTTTACTGGACCTAAAATTGTAACATTAAAAAATATTATGGACCGTGTGTGAAGACCACGTTCAGAGGTAGACACCAAAGTTATGGCGAACTGAATGTGGTAGACACCAAAGTTATGGCGAACTGAATGTGGTAGACACCAACGTTATGGCGAACTGAATGTGGTAGACACCAAAGTTATGGTGAACTGAATGTGGTAGACACCAAAGTTATGGTGAACTGAATGTGGTAGACACCAAAGTTATGGTGAACTGAATGTGGTAGACACCAAAGTTATGGCGAACTGAATGTGATAGACACCAAAGTTATGGCGAACTGAATGTGGTAGACACCAAAGTTATGGCGAACTGAATGTGGTAGACACCAAAGTTGTGGCGAACTGAATGTGGTAGACACCAAAGTTATGGCGAACTGAATGTGGTAGACACCAAAGTTATGGCGAACTGAATGTGCTAGACACCAAAGTTATGGCGAACTGAATGTGGTAGACACCAAAGTTATGGCGAACTGAATGTGCTAGACACCAAAGTTATGGCGAACTGAATGTGGTAGACACCAAAGTTATGGCGAACTGAATGTGGTAGACACCAAAGTTATGGCGAACTGAATGTGGTAGACACCAAAGTTATGGCGAACTGAATGTGCTAGACACCAAAGTTATGGCGAACTGAATGTGCTAGACACCAAAGTTATGGCGAACTGGATGTGGTAGACACCAAAGTTATGGCGAACTGAATGTGGTAGACACCAAAGTTATGGCGAACTGGATGTGGTAGACACCAAAGTTATGGCGAACTGAATGTGGTAGACACCAAAGTTGTGGCGAGCTGATTGAAATAACTTCAACCTATTTCTTTAAGTTAGCTCGGTTAACAATTTAAAACATTGAAACAATTAAAAAAATCACTTTTAGCTATCCACTATATCACTTTTACTTAGGCTCTAAAGTTCAATACATCAGTTTTAGCCGCCCAATACATCCCTTTTAGCCGTCCAATACATCACTTTTAGCCGTCCAATACGTCACTTTTAGCCGTCCAATACATCACTTTTAGCCGTCCAATACATCACTTTTAGCCGTCCAATACGTCACTTTTAGCCGTCCAATACATCAGTTTTAGCCGCCCAATACATCCCTTTTAGCCGCCCAATACATCCCTTTTAGCCGTCCAATACATCAATTTTAGCCGTCCAATACATCACTCTTGACCTTAGACTGTCGCAGAATCGTTAATTGCTCGACGCGACATTTGAAAGACAGAGACATACTGACAGACGGCAAAACTCTTATAAGAGAAAACCTACGCTAAAAAACATGACCCACCTTCATATAAAATTATATTCTCCAACACAGAAATACACGATACACTGATCGACCTGGCTAATCAACAACTCTTTTTTTTAAAATAACCTCTTAATCGCATCACAAATCACGCGTAACAAAACAAATCTCACCTTTAGCCAACTTTGTATCTGAGGGGGTGTGCAAATCGAAATCTGAGGGGGGGTGCAAATCGAAAGTCTGAGGGGGGTGCAAATCGAAACTCTGAGGGTGGTGCAAATCGAAAATCTGAGGGGGGGTGCAAATCGAAAGTCTAAGGGGGGTGCAAATCGAAAATCTAAGGGGGGTGCAAATCGAAAATCTGAGGGGGGGTGCAAATCGAAAGTCTGAGGGGGGTGCAAATCGAAACTCTGAGGGTGGTGCAAATCGAAAATCTGAGGGGGGGTGCAAATCGAAAGTCTAAGGGGGGTGTGCAAATCGAAAGTCTAAGGGGGGTGCAAATCGAAAGTTTGTCCCCGGGCGCCGGTAAGGGTGGCTACGCCTCTGCCCCAAACCACAGATAAGAGGTAGAGATATGTGCTATGTCACACAGATAGGAGGTAGAGATATGTGCTATGTCACACAGATAGGAGGTAGAGATATGTGCTATGTCACACAGATAGGAGGTAGAGATATGTGCTATGTCACACAGATAGGAGGTAGAGATATGTGCTATGTCAGACAGATAAGAGGTAGAGATATGTGCTATGTCACACAGATAGGAGGTAGAGATATGTGCTATGTCACACAGATAGGAGGTAGAGATATGTGCTATGTCACAAAAGAGGTAGAGATATGTGCTATGTCACACAGATGGGAGGTAGAGATATGTGCTATGTCACACAGATGGGAGGTAGAGATATGTGCTATGTCACACAGATGGGAGGTAGAGATATGTGCTATGTCACACAGATAGGAGGTAGAGATATGTGCTATGTCACACAGATGGGAGGTAGAGATATGTGCTACGTCACACAGATGGGAGGTAAAGATATATGCTAAGTCACAAATATAAGAGGTAGAGATATGTGCTATGTCACACAGATGGGAGGTAAAGATATATGCTAAGTCACAAATATAAGAGGTAGAGATATGTGCTATGTCACACAGATGGGAGGTAGAGATATGTGCTATGTCACACAGATAGGAGGTAGAGATATGTGCTATGTCACACAGATAGAAGGTAGAGATATGTGCTATGTCACACAGATAGAAGGTAGAGATATGTGCTATGTCACACAGGGGTAGAGATATGTGCTATGTCACACAGATGGGAGGTAGAGATATGTGCTACGTCACACAGATGGGAGGTAGAGATATGTGCTATGTCACACAGATAGGAGGTAGAGATATGTGCTATGTCACAAATATAAGAGGTAGAGATATGTGCTATGTCACACAGATGGGAGGTATAGATATGTGCTATGTCACACAGATGGGAGGTAGAGATATGTGCTATGTCACAAATATAAGAGGTAGAGATATGTGCTATGTCACACAGATGGGAGGTATAGATATGTGCTATGTCACACAGATGGGAGGTAGAGATATATGCTATGTCACAAAGATGGGAGGTATAGATATGTGCTATGTCACACAGATGGGAGGTAAAGATATATGCTGTCACAAATATAAGAGGTAGAGATATGTGCTATGTCACACAGATGGGAGGTATAGATATGTGCTATGTCACACAGATGGGAGGTAGAGATATGTGCTATGTCACACAGATGGGAGGTAGAGATATGTGCTATGTCACACAGGGGTAGAGATATCCGCTATGTCACACAGAGGTATAGATATGTGCTATGTCACACAGATGGGAGGTAGAGATATGTGCTACGTCACACAGATGGGAGGTAGAGATATGTGCTACGTCACACAGATGGGAGGTAGAGATATGTGCTATGTCACACAGATGGGGGGTAGAGATATGTGCTATGTCACACAGATAGGAGGTAGAGATATGTGCTATGTCACACAGATAGGAGGTAGAGATATGTGCTATATCACACAGGGGTAGAGATGTGTGCTATGTCACATCAGACTTGTTGGCCAGCCTCTGATACACATATCTGTAGTCAACAGAGAGGCCGGAAAGAAACTTATCTCTAGTTCATTATCTCCTATCCCAAAGCTTGTCTCGACGGTCAGGCAGGTAACGTACAGCGCTGCTTATGTCATGCCACCACAAGATGGATGACGTAATCACCTTAAGATTGTGTTGACGGGACAACTCAATGTTTACATGGGACAACACCTTGCTCAACTGAACACAAACAATCTGTAGAGTTGGCCTTACATCTCTAATCGTTGACAATTACATTTATATGTATCGCTTCTTCCCGGAAAACTATTATTTCCTAGAGCTCTCTAGTTCTACAAAACACTATTGTTTATTTTTAACCAAACTGTGCGGTTAGCATGTAATATAAACCCTGCTATTTGTTTACCTAATCCAACTGTAACCTAGATCAACAGAGGCGTGTTAAATTAAAGTTTAATTAAAACTATATTGTTAGCATACTAATCAAGTAATATTTTCCCCAACCTGACATCAGAGGTCATAGTTAGTCGCTGATACACCACACCTGCACATTTGTATACCTACTTTTGCTGATATCCATCACCATGAAACCTAAGTCTGTGTATGTACTCCCCTGTGTATGTACTCCCCTGTGTATGTACTCCCCTGTGTATGTACTCCCCTGTGTATGTACTCCCCTGTGTATGTACTCCCCTGTGTATGTACTCCCCTGTGTATGTACTCCCCTGTGTATGTACTCCCCTGTGTATGTACTCCCCTGTGTATGTACTCCCCTGTGTATGTACTCCCCTGTGTATGTACTCCCCTGTGTATGTGCTGTACTCCCCTGTGTATGTGCTGTACTCCCCTGTGTATGTGCTGTACTCCCCTGTGTATGTGCTCCCCTGTGTATGTACTCCCCTGTGTATGTACTCCCCTGTGTATGTACTCCCCTGTGTATGTACTCCCCTGTGTATGTGCTGTACTCCCCTGTGTATGTACTCCCTGTGTATGTACTCCCCTGTGTATGTACTCCCCTGTGTATGTGCTGTACTCCCCTGTGTATGTACTCCCTGTGTATGTACTCCCCTGTGTATGTACTCCCCTGTGTATGTGCTGTACTCCCCTGTGTATGTGCTCCCTTTGTATGTGCTCCCCTGTGTATGTGCTGTACTCCCCTGTGTATGTGCTGTACTCCCCTGTGTATGTGCTGTACTCCCTTGTGTATGTGCTGTACTCCCCTGTGTATGTGCTCCCTGTGTATGTACTCCCCTGTGTATGTGCTCCCCTGTGTATGTACTCCCCTGTGTATGTGCTGTACTCCCCTGTGTATGTGCTCCCCTGTGTATGTACTCCCCTGTGTATGTACTCCCCTGTGTATGTGCTGTACTCCCCTGTGTATGTGCTCCCCTTTGTATGTGCTCCCCTGTGTATGTGCTGTACTCCCCTGTGTATGTACTCCCCTGTGTATGTACTCCCCTGTGTATGTGCTGTACTCCCCTGTGTATGTACTCCCCTGTGTATGTACTCCCCTGTGTATGTGCTGTACTCCCCTGTGTATGTGCTCCCCTTTGTATGTGCTCCCCTGT